TTGTGCAGCGCTATCTCTTTTTGCAGCGATCCCGCGTTGGCCGCTTGTCTCAGCCCGGAGCATCTTGCTCTTCGCTTTGGGGTGTCATAGAACTGCGCTCTTGTATACATACCTGTACTGTTTCAGTTGGGACAGACAGAAGTCGTCGTCATCCATCGCTGTACCTCTCTACACGCTCGACGTCTCTAACTACTGCACTTAGTAATACGATTAGCAGCATCAAGCAGGACGGCATACAGCGGGGCTGAGCAATAGCTCCCTGACGCTATCAATTCTCACAAAACTGCCTAGGGCCACTTGTGGAGCCTCCCCCATGTTAGTGGCGCTTTTCAGCTGGGCAATCTCATCTTACTTGGACGCGCTTGGAAGCTGCTCGCAACGCGACATGGCAGATTGGACGGACGCAATTTCACGGTACATGCGGGATTAATCACACACAATTCACTCGGCACAACACCAAAAGATTTATACGAAATCCATCTTAATTACAGTGCAACACATAGGGTAGATCCTATCTACTGGGCACTCTGCCTCGTATCCAAAGTACATCCCAACCCAATCCAAGTAAAAGTAGCAAAGCCAACAACACCCTCTCACTTTCCAAGCCCATGGGGGTATTTTTCACATTATTCAGACCAGAAAGCGAGCCTGGAATATCCACAGGATGGATAGAACAGCCTTCCTGTCAGAGACAAGAGATGGCGTTCTTACAAGCGGGAGCCGTGGATGACTCTCATCTCAACAGCGAGCTCACGGCCGCCATCGTTGAGAACGAGGACACGGACGCTGCCGCGGCCAGACTCGAAAGCCTGCTGGAGACGAGACCACAGGTTGGACTGGTCAATGACGGTCAGGCCCTGCTTGACATCACCAGTCTCGGTCATGGCGGTGACGTAGCCGTCAGCCATGTCGAGGACACGGTACTGCTTGAAGACGGGGCCGAGCATGGTCTGGACAACAACGCTGGGGGCAGGGTTGGCAATGAAGGAAGACTCCTCGTGCAGCTGCTTGGTGAAGAGGTCAACACCGAGGTAGCGGTACTGGCCAGTGGCAGACGAGGTCGAGATGCGGATGACCTGGCAAGGACGGCCCTGCAGCATCAAGAAGTCACCCAGGCGGATGTGGTGGCAAGGGATGGAGACAGTGTTGGGCTGCTGCTCGGTGGCAGGGGCGGCTGCACGGTGAGGCGTGTTAGCATCGTGGTGGACATCAACAATATCAATTTGCTCTGTGACAGTAGTGGTGTTATTATTTTTGTTGTTGTTGTGATGGTGATGGTGGTGGTGATGGTGATGGGGGAGGAGCTTGTCCACAGCCTTGGCTACGCCTTGGCGGATAGAGTGGTGGTGGCCTACCGGCGACACGCGTTAGCGTACGCTTGCACGCGCCTGGCAGACAACAGAAAGAAAAGTTAGTTGGAGCTTACCCTCATCATCGTAGTAACCCATCTTGGCTGATTGTTCAACGGGAGAAGACTCGCGAATTTCTTCTGTGATCTTGATTTCCTCACGGAAGTTGGGACGAGAGACAGTGGTACGTTCTTCAACGGTGAACTCGGTACCCTTGGGCTTCTCGGAGTGGTGGTGGGAGTGGTGGTGAGAGTGTCGAGGCTTGCGAACTTGAACTAGTTCAAGACCGGTAGAGCTTTGGGGTTGAGGTTGAGGACGGAAACGTTCTCGGTATTCACGCTCGGCAGCGTCAATGGGGTTTGAGTGGCGGCGAGAAGAGTCAACCTTGACCTGAGTCTCAGTGTAGTCGCGAGGAGGAGGTGGAATAGATCTAAAAGTACTCGAGTTAGTTGGAGGGATTCCCTTTTGTGCTTGAGCTTCCTTGGCCTTGGTCTCTGGGCCAACACTTGTGGGCCGGGACTAGACCCCCTGAGCCGGGATAAAATAGCATGGCTGGGAACCCTAGCTGAACCTCACCCCCGGCTGTCAGCTCCCCCATAGTGAGCTCCGCCGCCCTCCGTGCTCAATTCGCATCTCCACTCCCAATTGACGCGTTCTAGAAGCCGCGGCAAAACGAGACTGTAAGAATACGAAGAGCAATTTCAGCGCTGCCGGTGGCAGGCGGGTTCCCTCTCCCCACGGCTATTTCTCCTGTCCCCCCTTCCCTCGCCTCCCTCACTTCCAATGGCTCACACGCAAATGAGGCCTGGGAGAGACAGAGGGCAGAGGGGCGTGAGAAAACAGATAAGAAAATGATGGCAACTTACTTGAACTCTTCCTTTACGAAGCGTTCAGAGTGGCGTGAACCGGGACGGCGGTGGCGTTCTTCCTCGCGCGTAATACGGATCTCTTCTTCGACGCGGTGTTCACCACGGTGAGGAACTAGATCGGCACTTGGGGGGAGAGAAGAGAATTGACCCTCCCGTCCGGCTGGCTTGTGTTGAGGGAGGGTGATTTGAACCTCCTCGTGGGTTGTGGTTTGAGTTTGAGGTTGAGGGCGGCCTGCTTCGTTGTCCTTGTAAGTGGACGGGAAGATGCTAAAAGGCACGGGGACTCGAGCTTCAAAATCCAGGTTGGCGGCTTGCGCTGGCGCGAGAGAATCTTCTCATACAACCTTCCGTAGTAGCACGAAAGGAAGATAAGAAGGATCTCAAGCTTCTGTTCCTGGAAACAAAAGTTCGAAAAGGGAAGAAAAGAGAGAGGGATATGATACCTCTGAGAGTCTTTTCTTTTCAATTGTCCTTGCTTCTTGGCTGGAGATTCAGATAATTGGAGGAAAGGAATGGCGGATCAGAACCAACGTCGCTCGAAGGGCCTTTTTGAAGTCGGGGGGCACGCCTGCGATTGTGGGCGTGCTCGTTGTGTTGCGTTGCCAAGGAGGGTAAGCCTATCGGCCCTCCATGTTTACCTGCCACCAAGTCTGGGCATGTTATTGTTTATTCCCATCACAACAGGATTAGTCCTGTCGTATCCTGACCTCTCGTCTCCGCCTTCAACTCCACATTCAGCCAACTTCATCCAACTCCCCTGCAAGCCCAACGAGCTCAGCAGGCATCTCGTCCACTGGCCTCTCGAGGCTGCGTCTCAGGCGTACTAGAGTCTCCAGTCGCCAGTGGACTCGTCGGATATGATGCTGCAACCCAGCGGTAAGCGTGATGGGGCCCCAAAGGCAACCAAGAGCTCCCCAGCCACCTTGCTTTCCTTGATTCCCTTGCGTCCCCCTGAATCGGCCGCTGATTGACCAGTCAGGCTCGGCGATTGATGTTCATGGCTACTGTGTCACTAGTGGTAGCAAGCAATATACCGGTAATGTAATCTGGTAGCAGCAGCAGTAGCGGTACTCCGTAGGAGTGGTAGCTCCCCCCATAGCGTGGTCAGCTACAAGGACGGCCCATTTTTAAGCGTGAGTGTGTGCCTCTGCTCTGTTGCTTTTCGGGGCAGCCTTTGGCGCGCGACTGGTTCCTGGCCTAAATGGCCTTCCTTATTCTCCCAATAGCCCCAGATCCAGCCTCACCGGCTTACTCGTACCGAGCACGTTGCGAGACACACAGAGAGAGGGAGAGAAGCTAGGAGCAGCGGTGGTACACGTAGCCCGTTCTATGCTTGCTGAGCAGCAACTCGTACCCGGGAGTAGCTTGAGCCGTTACTGGTACTGCTACCTGCTGCTCGTACGTCGTACAGTACTGGTAATCGACAGACATGGCGCCACCGGAAAAGCCTTTTGGCTTATCATGGAGGGCAGGCTGCGTCCGAGCTGATGCTGCATCTCGCCCATCGCCTATTCCTGCGACGCCCACGCCGGCTGTACTATGAGGACTGTGAAGCGCCCACTTTTGTGATGCACATGCCGTCTTAGCTGCAGCAGCGCAATGAAAACAGAGATGGCTGGGGCTCAGTCTTCGCGCTCTGGGCTATTGCTCGCCGGACAAGGCGATCGTCGCTCTCTGAGAGCTGCGTGGACTGGCCAGCCATTGGCCAGCCTGGGCGAGCCGCCCGCCTGAGACCACTCTGTACGGTTCGCTGCACGTAAAGGCGCTCCCTCCCTGCCGCCCGTCCTGATATCGTGTAATGCCGCCATTGGGCTGGCGCTGTTTCGGTGCTAATGCAGCAGGATAATTGCAGAATGGTAGCGGCGTGGTGCGAGCGCTGCAATCGACGCTGTAGTACCCGATATTTCGTGGCTGGGTGCTGGGAAGAAGCCAGACCTCGTCGGATCGCTCCAGCCAAGAGGGGCCATGGCTGCTAGCACCGAGCTCAGATTGAGATGGCTGGTCGCTAGTCGTCCAGTCGCGGGCCAGGCCACGGTCCGCTTTTCGGGCAGCTCATTTCCCTCGCAGTTGGCCACGACGGCGCCCGGTTCCCAATCCATGGCAGATCTGTGTCTTTAAGCTCCCTCTGTCAAGCCGGCCCTGGACAATTGTCCTGAACATCCGCATGGATCTGGTGGACATCGGCGTCTCGTGCATACCCAGAATGCTGGGGACCTTGATTGCCTCCCGCCTCATCTCCACCTCACTCATCTCGGTTGCTGTGACGATTGAGCATCGCCATCGCCAATGTCTTCTTCTTGGAGGGGGAAACAAGGATATGCCGCTTGTGTTTCAATATTAGACATCCAACAAGGTGGCAGGGAAGAGGTCCGTGCTGGCTGCCTGCTACACCACGACGCGTCGAATCGCGATGATTTGGGGGGTGGACCGAGGATGAAGCTGAATTGCGCGTTCGATTGGATCACTCAGGTTGGACGCGGCGGGGCCAATCGCAGCCGCATGTGCCTCGGTCGAATGGCTTCAGCTGCTGATTTCCCCAGAAGTTTGTCCGAGAACTGAAGCCTTGTTGATCGCATTGGAGCACCCGTCAATCCAACTAACACCTCCCGGCCGCGTGGCCTAATGGCTAAGGCGCTAGATTTCGGTTCATCATCATCTCTAGAGATTCCAGGTTCGACTCCTGGCGTGGTCGATTTTTTGCGCTTTGCGCCAGCTTTTTGCGATCGTGTTGGTCAATGAGGCCGTCGCGTTATTGTCTGTGGTGACAAGAGGGGCTGCGGATGCTGTAGGGAGTGACGACAACAGCTGGCAGCTGGCACAAGGAATGCTCGTGCCGCCAATAACCCTAGGCGCCCTTTTTTGACTGTTATGTCCACGTTAGGTAATGCGCAGCGTCCGTCACTCGTATCAGAATGATGAGCGTCTCACCCTTTTGCAGGCTAATTTCTCTGCTGCAGGCTTTATTAGTAAATACGACTTGCTCGCTCGTAAGCCAGGATTCGCACCAACTTCTGCAACTGGCAGGGCAATCAATTAGTGCTTGCTTCCAAACCCTGCTGTCAGATTTCATCCAGCTTTATTTGCACGTGCTCAGCTTGCAATTGCCGGCGGAGTTGAGCGTATGTACTGAGTAGAGGCTGCATGGTCCTACCTAACCTATACCAATTGATAAGAAAAGTTACCCAGCACCCCAACTGTAGCTCTACAAAATGCTCGTAGTCAATCCGCATGTAGATATTCCCTGGTATAAGGTATATATATACATTTAAACTTAGCGATAGCAGCTGGCATAGTAGCAGCGGTCGCATGGAGTAATAGCAGTAGTAGCAGTGATACCTATAGCAACATTAGTAGCAGTACCCAGCAATAGCCCAGGCGGCTATATCTAGGGTGCTGGATAACTTTTCTCATCCTAGTGCGTGCAGCAGCTGTTAAAATATGAACACCCACCCAATAGATGCCATGTATGATGTTAATTGGACCCTCCTTTTTTGAAATCGCCAATCGTGGGTTTGCCTCAGAATCCCAGTGACAGCGACCAGGGTATTCTGCGCAGCCTTATAGCATACAGTAGGCTACATGGCTCCGGCTCGATCTTTATGCGATGCCCCGATAATGCCCATGCTTACGTCATTACAGCTTGAGAGCTTGCCCCGCGGCCAACCAAATGCGTGCCCCACGGCAACAGATAGAGTTTCGCATCAAGCTTGCTATACACACATACAATTCTCGCTTTCTACAGATACAGGGTTGAGCCTGCGCAAACACAAATGCCAGGATGAAGCAGAGATTCTCGTCATTGGATGTCAAGGTACTTTGCTGTTTCCCCTTCAAGTAAGTTTGTTTCTGAAACTGCCCGCTAACTGCCCTTCTCTTGCTCTAGGTCATTGCGCACGAGCTCCAGGCGAGCCTCGTGACTCTACGACTCGCAAACGTCTACGACCTGTCCTCCAAGATTCTGCTCCTCAAATTCGCCAAGCCTGATAACAAGCAGCAATTGCTGATAGAAAATGGATTTCGCTGCCATTTGACCGACTTTGCCCGAACGACTGCCGCCGCTCCATCTGCCTTTGTAGCTCGGCTTCGCAAATATCTCAAGACCAGACGGCTGACGGCAGTTACACAAGTGGGAACCGACAGGATCCTCGAATTCCAGTTTAGCGATGGCCAATATCGAATGTTTTTGGAGTTTTTTGCGGTATGTAAAGAGACTGGAAAGCTGCGGCATCCTCTTCTTCAAAATGTAACATTAAATGGCCCGAGGCTAACACTAGAATAGAGCGGAAACATTATTCTTACCGATGCGGATCTAAAAATCTTGGCGATTTCTCGCAATGTTGGCGAGGGAGAGGGGCAAGAAGCACAGCAGGTTGGACTGCAGTATTCTCTCGAGAATAGGCAGAACTATGGCGGTATTCCTGCCTTGACAAAAGAAAGGATAAGGGATGCTCTCAAATCTGCCGCAGAGAAGGCTGAAGCAAACGCAGGGGCCAATACTTTTTCAGGAAAGAAACCCAAAGGTAAATCTGGTGGTGATTTGCGGAAGGCCTTGGCAGTTTCCATCACAGAGCTACCTCCTACTTTGGTCGAGAATATTCTGCAAGCGAATAGCTTTGATGTCACGGCTAAACTTGCTGATGTGCTTGATAATGAGCCATTGCTGGATGCACTGCTAAAACATCTGTCTGAGGCTCGTGACATCGTCGAGAACATCACCGCATCTGACACCTGCACGGGATACATCTTCGCCAAGAAAAAGGCGACCTCCTCCAGCGAACCAGTCGAGGCGAACGCGTCTCAAAAGCGCGAAGGGCTACTCTACGACGATTTCCATCCATTTGTTCCACACAAGTTCAAGAAAGACTCGTCATTTGAGATACTTGAATTTGAAGGCTACAACAGAACAGTTGACGAGTTTTTCTCATCCTTGGAAGGCCAAAAGTTAGAATCTCGACTCACTGGAAGAGAAGAAGCCGCCAAGAAGAAACTTGAAGATGCTAGGCATGAACAGGGCAAGAGGATCCAAGGTCTACAAGACGCTCAGGCGATGAATCTCCGCAAAGCAGCTGCTATCGAAGCAAATGTGGAGCGCGTGCAGGAGGCCATGGACGCGGTAAATGGCCTTGTTGCCCAGGGCATGGATTGGATAGACATCGGGAAGCTTATTGAGCGAGAGAAGAAGCGACAGAACCCCGTTGCCGAAACTATCCATCTTCCCCTCAAATTGTCCGAGAACACAATTACTCTCCTTCTTGCAGAGGAAGAGTTTGATGAGGACGAAGATGAAGCAGAAGAAGCCAACCCATACGAAACTGACGAGAGCGACTCGGACGAGGGTACGAGTGAAGCTGCTTCAACGAAAGATACGAAACCCGCGAAGCTTCTAACAGTTGACATTGTCCTCAACGTTAGCCCCTGGAGCAATGCTAGAGAGTATTATGAACAGCGAAGATCAGCTGCCATCAAAGAAGAAAAGACTCAGCAGCAGGCAACCAAGGCCTTGAAGAGTACGGAGCACAAGATTGCTGAAGATCTGAAAAAAGGTCTGAAGCAGGAAAAAGCTCTTCTTCAGCCAATTCGCAAGCAATTGTGGTTTGAAAAATTTCTGTGGTTCATATCCTCTGATGGGTATCTCGTCCTCGGAGGGAAAGACCCGCAACAAAGCGAAATACTCTACAGGAGATATCTGCGGAAAGGTGACATTTACTGTCATGCCGATATACGTGGCGCGGCAAATATTGTGATTAAGAATAACCCAAACACGCCAGACGCCCCTATTCCTCCAGCGACTCTGTCTCAAGCAGGGTCACTGTCGGTCTGCTCTTCGGAGGCTTGGGATTCCAAAGCGGGCATGGGTGCTTGGTGGGTCAACGCAGATCAAGTATCCAAATCGGCTTCAACAGGAGAAATTATGCCTGCTGGAAACTTTATTATTCAGGGGAAGAAGAATTATCTGCCTCCAACTCAACTCCTGCTCGGTTTAGGATTTGTATTCAGAATTAGTGAGCAGAGCAAAGGCTCGCATTTGAAGCACCGAGTACAAGACGAAAGCTCATCAACAGCGGCAGAAGGGGCAACTGCTGGCGACGATGAATTGGAAAACGAGGAGGAAATTAATGAATCAGATATTTCGGACGACGAGTTTTCTGAAAACCCATCTGGTCATGAGAAACGAGCAAATCCTCTTCAAGGCTCTGGAAATGAAGATGAGACCATAGATGATACGGCTGACAAGCTGTCAACAGTGGATATCGGGGATCAGTCTGCCAACGATGAAGCTGATCCCTCATCTGCGCAGGCCACTGAAGACAAGCCATCAGAGGGAGAAGATGACGCAGACGCAAACGCAGACGCAAACGCAGACGCAGACGCAGACGAAGAGGAGCATGGCAGTGAGGGAGACGAGGTAGCACCTTCTGAACCTGCCACCGAAGTGTCTGAGGCGCCCAGTAAAATCTCCTCACATTCAACAAAAACCTCAGAGACAACCAAGAAAGGAGGCCAGAAACGTGGACAAAAAGGAAAAGCGAGAAAGATTGCCCAGAAATACAAAGATCAGGATGAGGAGGATCGCATTACAGCAGAAGCCTTGATTGGAGCCACGGTGGGACGACAGCGGGCCGAAGCAGAGGCGGCCGCTAAAGCCCAGCGGCAGGTCGAAATGGAAGCCATGAAGGAGCGTCGACGTGCCCAACATGAGCGGAAGCAAAAGGAAGTCGCGGAACAGGAAGAAATCCGCCGTGCTATGATGAATGAAGGCCTCGACTTACTGGAGCCTGATGAGGCTGAGAAGGCGACTAACTTGGACACCTTGGTTGGCACGCCGCTGGCGGGAGATGAGATTATTGAGGTCATCCCCGTCTGTGCGCCGTGGAACGCCCTGGTTCGGTTCAAATACAAGGTTAAGATGCAGCCGGGCTCTGTGAAGAAGGGCAAGGCGGTCAAGGAAGTGCTGGAGCGTCTCAAGACCGACTCTGCCAGAAAAGGCGTCATTGACGAGGCCGGACGAGACAAGGAGAAGATGTGGCCGAGAGAGATTGAGCTCATCAAGGCCCTTAAGCCGGAGGAGATTGTCAACACCATATCGGTCAGCAAGGTGAGAGTCATGTTGGCCGGCGCGAGTGGAGGGGACAAGGGGTCTTCTAGCGGCGGGAAAGGCAAAGGCGGGGGTAAAAGTCAAGGAAAGGGAGGAAGGGGAGGCAAGGGCTCAAAGAAATAGCCTGTGTATATCTTGACTAGAGGCTTGGATTTGATAACCGTATAGATAGATATGTACCAATAAAAGACGAGCATATATGTTTTGGATACACGGGCAACAGAATTATTCCATCCTTCATTAAGACACGCAGTAGGTGACATGTGGTGTATAACGTTTCTCCAATCTTCATTCCCAATCCATGTTGGTTACTTTCCAAAGGATAATACCAAATCAAACCCAACATTTTGTCATCCAGGTAAACATCAGCTACTTACCCCAAGATATGATAACTATGGATATACATGTATGGATAATACTATATAAAAACAGATTCTCATAAACTCTATCGAGCATTATCCATCCTCCGTATCTCGTTGGGCATGCGCGCAATGCACAGCTCGCGGCAGAACATGCCCCATTCGCCGCTGGTGGCGGCGCGCACGGCGTCCTGCAGGTCCTGGCCGTAGCGCTCGCGATAGGCCTTCTTGACGTCCTGCATGTGGAACGAGTCCCAGTGGAAGCGCACGAGGCGCGAGATGAGCAGTTCGCGGCGCAGCGAGTCCTTGCGGGAGGCGGTGATGGCGTGTTGCAGGAGGAGGGCGTCGCGGACGGGGCGGTTGATGACGCCGTTGAGGATGTGTGCGAGGAGTTCGCCCTAGATTTAAGAAAGCTTTTGTTAGCACTGACTCACTTGTCTCTCTTCTTATTTCTTTCTCTTTCTCGAGGATCGTCCAAACTGATACGTACCACAAGATTGTTGCTCTTCTTGAGCGCGTCACGCGCAAAGTTGCTGCGGTATTGGTGTTCATATTCCTTGAGGACGGCGCGCAGGTGGGCGTCGCTGCGGGACACGACAATGGTAATCATCAGCGTCTCTCCGCCCTTGTCAGACTTGACGGCCTTGTGCAGGTCTTCGACGTCCTGATCGATGAGCTTGTAGTCAAGCGGCAGTCTGCGGCCCTCATAGTCGTACTCTTCCATGCGGCGCTCCTCCAGGACCAACAAGACGGCCTTTTTGAACTTGTCTTCCTTCAGCTCCGTCTTCATGCACTTGCTCAGGCTGTTGTCGTACTTCTTGTCAGAGAAGGAGTCCTTGATGCGGCGGATCTCGTCGTTTGTTCGACCCATGAGCGACTCGATCAGCAGCTCTCGGCGCGTCTTGTCGCCCTGGTACCAGAAGTTGGCCCAGTAGGCCTCGCTCTCCCATTGCCCCAAGGCAACGGCATAGCACGCCTTCATCAAGAGGGGATCCTCGTCCTTGAAGCGGGCGCGGATGTGCTTGGCAATGTTGACGCCCTTGCGGTCCGTGCCGGTCTTCACAATCTGCTTGTACTCGGCGCGGAGCTCCATGACCTGCTCGTGCGACAGGCTGGGTAGGATTTCAATGACCGGCGCTACATCCGGTCTGTGGCTGCCCTTGAGGGCCTGGGCAAGACGAGAGGCAATGTCCTGCGGATCGTGAAAGCGAGCTCGCCTGTTGAGCCTGGTGTCGCCCTCACCGTCAGAGAGCGGTGAGAAGGTGTCCGCGATTCTTGGCAAATCGCCCGGGTGCCTGGACGCCAGCAACAGAGGCGACGGCATAGGCGAGCAATTCTGATATGTTCCACGGTACGATTCCAGCAGCGGGGATGCCGGCGCGGCTGCGAGCGAAAGAGATGCCTGTCGAGGCCCGGTGTTGACCGTCAAGCTGGACATACGGCCAGTGGGCGGCTGGGGAGACCTATCCCGCCCGCTTCGGCCATCTCTGGACCGTGATCGGTCGCGCGAACGGGATCGATCGCGAGGATCAACATCGACGGTCAAGGTGTGAGAGCGTCGGTGCGATCTGGACTCGCGGTCGGAGTCAGAGTGCTTCCTAAGGTCGCTGCCGTAGTCGTGCGATTTGGAGCTGTGATGGCCGCGGCTGGGCGACTGGCCGTAAGCCAAGGCGTCCTCCGTGCGGCTGTACTTTTGAGGCAGGTGAATCAGCTTGTCGTCCTCTGGGTAGGGCAAGTGGCCGCCGGAGCCACGGGCAGATCTGCGATCCAGCTCATCGTCAGCATACACATAGCTGGACTCGCGGGAGTCGCCGTACGCAGGCCGCTGTGGCTTGGGCTCGTCGATGAAGCGGCCGTCGCGGGACCTCGATCTGGCCCTGGGATTGGTGATTGAGGCCAGGGAAATGGTCGCTCCGGGATGGTCCATGGCGGGAGCTTCGCGCGCGGGGGGTGGCGTCTGGCGGGAAGTGAGTTTGTGTCAATTATTGGTTCGTTTCTGTTTCCGCTGGAGAACAAACGCCCGGCCGTGCTCCGCTAATGACAGCCACCAGTGATTGTAGTGGGCTGTCTGGTTGTAGTGGTAGTAGTGGGATCTCTTGAGATAGAGTTACAGCGGCAGAAGCAACAACAGCAATGCCGACGTCGATGATGATGGAGGAGAAGAAAACAAGACGGCTGGGCCTCGGAGCACAGAACCAGGTAGAGAAAACACGACCAGTCAGTTCATTGCAGCGCGAGAATATGCACCTAGCACGTAGCCCAGACAATAAACTGGAGGCGATACAGGCCACCTGCATGAGCGCTACGCCTTACAGGTGCTTAGAGCCCAGAGCCGCTGCAGGTGTGCAGGGCCAGCGGCAGTTCAGGCGCTAGAGTGGTTGAGGAGCCAGCTGAAGGGCGCCCCTCTTTTTGCGCGTCAGAGCCCATGGACGGCCATTCTCCGTGAGAAGCTCGTGTCAGCGGCTCTGTTTAGGTAGGTGGTAAGCCTAGGCAAGAGGCTATCCCACTGCTTCGGATTGATGTTGTTACTTGCCGCTGAGAGAAAAGAGGAATGCTGCTTGCCAGGTGTTCAGTAACTAGGTATCTGCACTGTTGAAACAAATCAATACGAGACACGCATTTGACGTAATGGACAGGCCGATCAATTGTTTCGTCACAGTTGTAGCTTACGGCACCAGTACGAGTTTACAACTCGTAAACACGTGCCCCATGCGAACAGCGTCGCATCCCCGTCCCTGAACGCCCTGAAAATGCTACATTGTTTTTTGGTTGTGTCCATTAGAGCAACTCATACCGCGTATGGTTATTCCTTGTAGCCCGCTATTGTTGCGAGCTCCATAGAATAGACATCCATGGATGCAATCCGTGCCGATGCTCAGCCCCCAAAAACGATGTGGAACCTGTCAGTTAGTTTCGATCCTGGTGTTTAGCCTGCGGTGGGTATGAGAAATAGGTGAGTACAGCACTCCTGTCAATTTCTGCGATCTTCACCACCTACGCCGTATGCATTTGGACACTCAGTGGTCCGTGGCAGGCATTCGTATACCGTATGCTGATCTCTGCTATTCCTATAGTAGTATTCCGTGGCATTTACACACCGACTATCAATATGTACAGGCTACGCTACTCACTCGTCCGTCAGCAAAGGCCGCGATGACCCGAAACTAGCGCCATTACTCCTGCAGAGCCTCATGCACGTCACATGGAAAAGCGAAATTCAACGCTACGAGCGATAGGAAGCATTCATTTGCTGCAATTTATTTACTGTTTGACACCTGATCCATCGTGTTTAGTAAGCTGACTGAGTTCCCGTGTTTGAAACCCGCCAGCGTATCGTGAGTTTCTCTGATAGGGTGCCTAACACCTGTATATGAGATAGCAGGTACTATCAGGCCATTGATTATATCAGATGACACATATAAAGTCAGGCTTCTTTCTTTCTGAAATAGCCCGGAAAAATATCACTATTCTACTAGTAGGCTTCCTTCATAGGTAGGTGCTTAGCATTCGACTTTTGATGTGACATATATGCATGTACATGTACGCATTGTCTGCGTTTTACTTTATTTTACTCTATTCATTCATATCCTGTACCCAATTTTTCAACATGGATAGTATACACGTACTCCTTGCATCTATTGACACGTCACTTCAACTTGAGCTCGATGCGTTGGGCGCCCTCTCTCCCCTCTGGAAGACATACAGCGCCTCGTCCTTGCCAGCAAAGCTCGGCAGTGGAATCTGTACCACCTTTGACCACTCCTTGTGCTCCTGCTCCATGAATGTATCCATCGTCATGCCCTTGAATCCTGTATAACCGTTCAGGTTCTGTGTTCCGACAACCGCAATGGTGTCCCCCTGGAAAGCGCTGACGAGGCCCCTCGTGAAGCTGCCCTCGGCGCCTCCTCCGACTCCCCCTCCGACAACGGGATAGACCAACAGGAGGACCATGTCTTTGCCATTGTCATTCTTCCGCAGCCATTTCACACCGTCTATGATGGCCGTATCATCGATCCAGTTGACCCTCCACTCGCTCTGCATGTTGTCCACCGGATACACCGTGAGCCCATACCGCCTCAGCAGAAACGTCCAGTAGCCATTACCCGAGCCCATATCCGCAATAGCTCGACCATCTGCCAGGATTCTCAACACCTCCAGGCCCTCGTGTGATGGTGTCGCACAGCCAAAGTGGTGCATGAAAATGGGGAGCACATGGTGACTCGTTGCTACTCTTTCCGATGAAGCGCAGGGCCCACACCACTCCAAGTTTCTGCATGACCAGGCCCAAAAGTCAAAGTACGGATTCTCACTCGGTGGCTTCTTTGACTTGGGGATGGTCAGTTGCATGGTCAGCGCCGGGTGAATGAATCGTTTCCCTGCGATATGGCTCGCAATCTCTGAGCGGATAGACGTCTTCTTTGCGTTTGTCTCAAAGTTTTTCAAGGCTGAAGCCGTGGCAGTTGAGGGGCTGAATATAGAGACATACGCCTCGATATCCGGCAGAGGTGGAGGGTCTCTCTAGGTCCATGGAAATATCTCATTCAGCTTATTGCCCACAGAATCTTAAATGAGATGAGGGAAGGGAGCAAGCGCTTACAGGCGTGCCATCTTCACCGCGATACCAGGCGTGCAGGCCATTGATGCCGCCCAACCCGACAACGTGCTGAACCTCAGCCAGCTTGACACTTGTCATGGCGTGATACGTAAATGTATCTCTCTCGGGCAGGCTAAGCAGCACACGGCTGGCATTGTACAGATCATTTGCTGCCAGCAGCTCCTGAGCTTGCTTGAGCCGCGGGCCATCCTGGATTACTTCATCTGGAGCAAAGGACGGGCTGCCAACGCAGCGAGGCGCCTTTGCGTTGCTGCGCGACATGAGATTGAGGGGCTGGTAGTAACGGGAGCAACTTTCTCTAATTAATGTGAGGTGCATAAGATGTGACTGATGTGCTGTGCGTCGACAATTTTGGAGTTGAAGGCAGGGGTTGTGAGATACGAGATGTTGTGCTGAGTATAACGAGCGTTCCGTACGACATATTGCTATGCCGTTCCGTGGATAGGCGCTAATAATTTCATGATGGTTGATATCGCCGATTGGCAAGGTCCGATGAAAAGTGGGCTTTTAGTATGAGAAAACGGAGTTGAAGATGATCATGCCAACCAAGAAAAATTAACTGCTATTGATTTTTTACGAAGTTTTTCCTTTTCTGAGTACAGTATGTAGGGCAGCAAGTTAGGATGTGATGAGTTCAGATGAAGCGAAGTGAGATAAGTCAAGGTGAGGTGAGGACAGGGCTCAAAGCGCTCTCATTCGCGGTCTCGCTTCTCCAAAATCGGCGCCTATGATTGAGAAACTCGTTTAGAAAACACAAACGTCAACTGGCTGGCTTGAGGGATCTGCCGCTAATGAGACCCTCCGCCAGCCGGCGGCAACGGATAGCAAAAGCCTCAATCTAATTCATGCATTTGCGAATGAAACGTCGGTCAACATCCTCCTTGCAGCCAGGCCTGACGAATGGAAGAGGCCGAAGAGGCCGCAGCTACTCGCAAGAAACGGTTGGTCCAACAGTCACAGAGTGGATATGAAGCGTCCGTCACCTAGTGGTACCTACCTATGTATTTGTTTACACATTCTGCTCAATGGAGCTGTGTTGGTTCGAGCCATGGTGAAGGCTATTCTCGGTGCTTTTTTGTTGTTGGTTCTGGGTGGCACAATTTTACGAATCACCCAGTAGCAAAGCAGCAATGGAACGCGGAGTACCAAATTGAGAGATTTCAGTTTGCTTGCCACCCTCCCATCCTCTTTGTGAGAGAATTAGGCGCGCCTTTGAACTCTGTCGAGATTCTGTCGAGCATGGCCTGTGTCGAGGGCTTGAGAACATGGCTTTATACGGAATGCTACACAGAAGGCGCTCGCAGCCACGCATGGTGACATGTGCCCCAGTCTCACTACAGGACACACAAAAGTTAAAGAAAATGAACAAGCAACTCAATTCAACACTAGAGAGGAAAAGAAGAGGACAGAACGCGGCAAAAGGCAGCATTAGTCCGTAATAATGTGCCCCAGATGCGGCTGCTGTTGGCCAGCTTACAAGTGCCTAACCAGCACGGAACACCGATTCAAATCTGAGTGTGACGCATCGTATGGGGTATTTACGTACCCGCTGTTCGTGCTAAACATCCCCCAACCGCCCAGCCCCACAGGCGGCGGCATGTCCACTAGAATCGACCTCGAGCGCTGTAAATCGTATCATCAAGGGCGCCTTCAGCTGGTCTCGGCGATTATATCATGGAGCCCGATCATCTATCATCTCACTCCCGACATCTTAGTGGCCCTCTTTGATTCTAGACTCGTCGATTCGAATACCGAGTGCTTTGCTTTGCTTCTTAGCACCGTGATCGGGCTGAGCCTTATTTTAGGCTTCTCTCCACTTGCTTCAACGTTCTGATTGTCGAATCACCACATCCTGTGTACTGTACGTTTGAAAGAAGAAGGGCAGCCCATTTGAGATTGCAACCTTTCATCTTTGTCGATAGAACGAATAGGTCGCTTTCACATGTTGACATCTCGTGCCTCAGCCGCCAAGCACGTCCTCACATACCCCTGAAACCTGGCAATTAATCCTTCCCGGCTGCGGCGGGCCACTGGAGCTGCCTACCATAGCGATTTCATTGCTTTTTTTTCCCCTTCCAGGCGGCCACAATCTGAATCCCCGAGACATTGCAGCCTCCACGTCCCCGAGCAAAGACAGCGTTATGTGTTTTGCCCGAAGAGCCTTCTGTGCCAAGCAGGAAAGCCACCTGAGGGCTAAATACATGTATCGAAGTACTGTCTGTGACTTGGTTTAATCACGGCCCGGCCTCTGAGCAACAGCTACTACTACTTTTTTTCAGCATCTTTCTTTCGGCAAGCCACGGCCACACAATCTTTTTGCCTCTTCTATTATATCGGCTACTCTCTTTATCCCGCGATTCACTCGCCTGGCTTTCGCCATGGACAGATTTCTCAAAAATGGCTTCAAGAGCTCGTCTCAGAGGACACGCTCCCCCTCTCCCGCCAATGGCGCGACGAGCACCGCAAGCCACACGGACAGCTCTTCCAGGCTGAATCATAGCTTCACGGCCAACACTAACGGCGATGATGGTCCTCGCGAACCCACATCTCAATATGGCGCTGCCTCACAGCCTCCTTATGCTGTTAACTATCAACTGCCGGCTTTGAAGATATCCGATCTTTTGCATAGCCCGACAGCTATGCCAACTGAAAATGCGAATGGATATGGAAACGGATATAGAAATGGATACGGGCATGAACAGGGCGATGCTGCTATACCTCCTTTGGCTTTGAAGAAAGACATTGAGAAAGACACAGTGACGGGACCAACACAACCAACAAAAGGCTATCCTGAAACGTTCAATTCGCTGGAGCACGCGACAGGACTACCGTCAATAGGCTCTCCCTTGACACATCCAAATGGCGTCTCTATGTTTCCAGATCTTTCTGCTGCGGAACAGCAGGAACTATCTCGAGAAGCACTGGATCAAGCCGAAGAAGCCATCATTGCCGATGATAGCGCCGATAGCATCGGGTCCGTTCATGGTGATGACACCGGTTCTGATGCCGGTTCTGATGCCGGCTATGATAGTGACACTGCCAGCTCGGCAAGCACATCTGTCATGTCATCCGTTCGCGATTACATGTATGAAAATGGCCGGCGATACCATCGATATCGTGAAGGCACGTACAACTTCCCCAATGATGATGTGGAGCAAGAGAGAGAGGATATGAAGCACGCCATGGTCAAGCTGCTGTGTAGCCAAAAGCTACACTTTGCCCCCATCGGCGATAACCCGCAAGAAATCCTCGATATTGGAACTGGAACCGGAATTTGGCCCATTGAAAGTGAGTCATCAACAATGTTGTACAATACTCTGACTCTTTTAGACTGAGAATCACTAACGCCCTTCTCTTAGTGGGAGACAAATATCTGAGCGCTCATATACTCGGAATCGACTTGTCTCCTATTCAGCCGGATTGGCTACCGCCCAACGTTCGATTCATGATAGACGATGTGGAATCGCCGTGGTTGCATCCCAACAGCCATTTTGACTACATTCATTCTCGCCACACAGTGATGGCTGTTAGAGATTGGATGAAGCTATTTCGAAGGGCCATAGAGTCAGTTGTCCTGCGGTTTTTTCCTTTGCAGGAGAGCAGTCGCTAACAGATATATCAGACATCTCAAAATTGGCGGCTGGATCGAGCTCCAAGAAATCCATCACACCCCCAAAAGTGCCCTACCGGATGGTAATGGCGAGATGCCACCAGACCATCCTGTTACACGTTATTGGAAACACGTATCAGAGGGACTAGCAGCCCTTGGCATTGATCTGGATACCGCAGCCAATGGCAGAATATCCGATATGATGCAAGAGGCCGGTTTTACCAATGTTACAGAGCGGGTGCTGCATGTGCCCATCGGGACTTGGCCCAAGAATAAAGTCCTCAAGACGGTCGGCCTCTACTGGCGGACCATACTCTTGGATGGGATTCAGGCCATTGCTCTGGGGCCATTGACACGAGGCCTGGGGTGGAACCGAGAGCAGGTAGAAGTACTGCTGATGGAAGTCCGGCAGGCCTATTTTGACGATTCCAAGCTCATGTACATGCCGTTTCATGTTATTTATGGGCAGAGGCCATAGTGCTCTGTACAATGTGGTGTCATTAGCGATCTATCTATACTTTGTGTGGCGACACTTAAGGATCTCGACATTTTAATTAATAATTCTACCTTTGTCTACCATTGATTGAGAATTGAGTATACCAAATACTCTAATTTTGATTTGAGTTTCCATGAAAAATGCGTGGCAGATACTCGGCGGTGCCCCCTCGGTTACGGCCTCATACTTCAGAACACAAAGATAACATGACGATGAGCGCCTTTTGACGAAAGAAACATCCAGAGGAAAATGGAATTGCGAATACGGAGCAACTAGCATCAGCGGCTTGCCCATCACTCAAGATATGACGGGATTATCGTTCGATCTAGCCAACACCTGCGTACTGCAAGGGACATTTCGATATACGAATGGACCAACGAGAGCACCCGCCCGCGCTCCACCCGCGCCTCTCGTCGTTTATTACAGGCCTCACTAAAGAGGAACATATCCGAGACCAAATGTAAGTACTCGGCTGAAAAAGGGTCGCCTTTTTATGCGGCCAAACCGAGCCCGTCTCGGCCGTATCGCCTAGCGGCTCCGTTGGATAGCAGTTTCATTACAATCTCTCGACCCGGTTCTTGGGAGCGGGTTTGACACACATTCAAACTTCGTAATCGCGCACGCACTTGTAACACACATCATTTATGTGCCGTTCGACGGGGTTGACAGAAATAAAAGGTCTCACAGGGCGGCTTGCACGTGCTCTCCTGCGGGTGACAGATGGGTAAAAGATCAGCACCTGTCTTGGCAATATTAATGCCAGTAGTCTGGTCTTTTGGGTTTCCTGGTATCTGGGAGCGGTAGTCGGCGATGCGGACGCAAGGGGGTCCTTGGAAACTTGGATTCTGAGCACTTATGATGAGATGAGATGCGATGCTCTGTCGTGCCACATGGCGGTGGCCATCTTTTCGGCATTAGGGCGTCTTTTATCATATTGACAGCTAAGCTAGCTCATGTAACTACTTACCAGTAGAGCTCACACTAAGTGATCCTAGTACATGTATCTGTTCAGCTGCGCTCGTTGTACATGTGCGAGATACTATTTGATAGCTGGAGCGAAAGTTAAGCGTCTGAGAGCGGCGGCGGCAGCGGCGGCGCTACGGTCCGGACCTAGGGATTATAGCACTACTGACCGCTACGGGGACATGGCTTGCCGCTAAATGGGGCCGGATTGTGGGGAGAGAGAGAGAGAGACATCAATGGCAACATGATCCTTCAGCTGCCTCTTATTTAGTAGTGCAAACTATCCCTAGAATTGCAAGTAACGCAACTTGTGAATGCCTACACCAATAGCTCCACCCCCAATTATCATCGGAACTGCCATGATTTGCAATTTGTAATGGCCTTATAAATGTGACTCTGTTTGATGTTTCGGAACGGAAACGGAAGCTTCCGAATGCGTGTATCACTGCTTGCACTAGTAGTAGGTAGCAGTAATACTCATTAGCGGCGGATCTCTCCTCCCGCAAGGGTTACGATCCAATTGAGCGGAGACCTATTCGGAACATGAATGCTACGCCAAAGATATCTGGAGACCAATGCACCTGGATATTACTACTGGCAACATGAATAGGACACAAAGTTGTACTTGTAGGTACACAGTTCTTGGTGCACTAAGAGGTAAGTAGGGTACACGCACTTGTGCTACTGCTCCGTCTGCCACTACTTCGATGCCAACCGCGTATACAAATCCGAAGATTGATGCCATTTTAGCCCGCCGCGGGTCGCCGGATGGGATAGGATGCGCGACAAGGGTTCTCTTTAGCTTCTAGATCGACCCGGGCTTACATATTCGGGCCAGAAAGACGGCGAGCATGCGGAGGCCATTTCGGGGGCTTGGTCTAGTTTGATTGCAGTAAGTCTGGGTGTCTTGGACGATGGGTTACATTTTGGCCTCTTTACTTGCTCGTTTCTTCTTTTCTTCTCGTCAGCAGTTCTTTTCTTCTCATTAGTTCTCTCCTGTCTCCCGCTGTATTTCCGTCTTTCCTGGAATTCGGGCTGTGTATGACCGAGAACTCAATCTTGCATCGTTGCGTTGTGTCTCTCTAGTTGCTTAACGTGACTACAGGACAGACAACGATTCTGGCAAGACAAGAAGATTTCTCATTGTCTAGAGACACCAAACCGTTTACCTGGAGCACGGCTTGACGAAAACAGAAGAACGACAAAGGAGGAAATACGACACATTAGATTGCTGTTGTTCTCCTCATACAGCAGACGCATCGAACAGCAGACGCATCGACAGAACTCTTTCCAACTCTGGCGCCGAAGAAATCTGCTTAGCTATAACACAGAACTGCTTGTAAGTACAGAGTACATACTTTCTCATCTTTCTAAAACTAGTTGCCGGTTTTTCTTTCAACCCTTGCAACACCATCCTCTTCTTTTCTGCTGGATTACGCAACCCCCCCAAACCCGCTGCGTCAATTATGCTGCTCTATTGTGGCGGCTGCTTCGTCTGGATCCCTGATCCTTGTCTCTCTACGCATGACATGGATGGGAAGAAGTGGATCGATCTGTTTGCGGCGTGTTGCAGCACCAGTCAAAGCAACACCCAAAAGCTATGGTGATGTGCTGTCAATCTCTTGTACCACTACTCAGACGCAGCCAGTATTGCAAGGGTCCTCCAGTTTCCTCACAAATCATGCGGCCACACTCTCCTAACCTGCGAGGCTGCCGCAGATACATGATCCGCTGCTCTTGGAAACTCTGGCTTATACTCCCCTGCTTCTCAGCTTACTCCCCAGACGGCCCAATGAGATTTGAAGCGTGCATTATTTGATAAGCAGTGTCAGAACAAGGTACAGCAACTCTCAATTTCTCCTTTGAGTAATAGGTGTTAGAGCCGCAGTTCGGACTTTCGGTCTCTTCGGGCGCTCCATCCTGACAATTGGAGAACCAACAGCGTTCTCCTCATGGAGCTGGCCATCAACGGCCCATCCTTCACTCAATGTAAAGGCCCATTGCTTTGAGTTGCCGCAAACTACATCCTTTTGGCGGCAACTTCAGTTCTTCCGCAAATTTGCAGATCGGAGTGGGTATTGAACCGTTGCAAGTTCACGTTCCGAGGCGCGCATCGGAGAATACGACACCAATTCCGAAGTTGATCAGAATAAGCCCACCTGAGGACGAGGAGCCATCACCAGCGTGATATAACTTTAATAGCCTTCAAATCTCTCAGGTTGAAGCCATACTGACTTGTCTCATTATCTACAAACACGTCTTGCTACAAACTTTCCCATCATATCTTCAGCTCATACAGTTCCTCTAACTCTGTCTCCACACAGCAACTCCAACTGTCAACCACCATGGCGAAACTCAGTATCCCGTCTAACGAACGTAACGGTTCGGCTACGGCTGCTGGTCAGCGCACAACAAGCGCAGCAGCATCCCAAGAGCCTCGCATGGGAGTGCTGGCCGAAATTATCCGCGTTGAAACAGAAAAGTTGGAAACATATCTCAAAGAGCACGGCATCACTCAACCGAGTTTTCATGTAGACGCTCCTCTCGATTTCCCCCACTTGCCCGACGAGATTCAGGAGAGCCGCCAGAAGATTGTCTTCGCCACGAATGAGCTGGCAAACCTCGTTAGGGGCCCTCGAGAGAGTGTGAGATTTAGTGCATGGAGTGTTAGTAGCAGAATTTCTCACCCTGTTGCGTTTTGCTGTGCTGACTCAACTTGGTAGTATCTGGACAGCTTGAGTCTGCAACTTATCAACAGCTATCAGCTTGGTAAGGCAACTCACCCTTAATATTGAAGCACGACTAACATCACATAGCTAAGCTCGTCCCCTTGGACGCCCCTATTTCGTTGAAAGAACTTCAGTCCAAGACTACTCTGGAACCAATCTTTCTTGCTCGTACTCTACGCTACGCTATGACAAACTACATGTTCTACGAGCCATCTCCGGGATACATTGCCCACACTGCCAATTCTCGTGTTCTAGCTCAAGACTCTTCACTTCAGGCCTGGGTTGGCTTCAACTCAGACAGCTGTTTTCCTGCCGCTGCCAAGGTGCCAGACGCCTTGAAAGGGCACCCCGAGGCCGTCGAGCCGACTCATGCAGGGTTCAATTATGCTTTCGACACAGTAGGCAAAGAGCCCATGTATGCGACTCTCGCCAAGAAGCCTATTGAATCCGATCGCTTTGCTCGCGCCATGGTAAGCTTCACACACGGAGAGGGCTATGAAGTCAGCCACCTGGTGGACAACTATGACTTTTCAGACGTCGATGCGCGTGGGGGCACATTCGTGGATATCGGCGGCAGTCATGGTTTTGTATCGGAGGCTTTGGCAAAGAAATGGAAGAATGTCAACTTCATCGTGCAAGACAGGCAAGAAATGGTGGATTCTGCCCCAAAGCCCGTCTCCGAGGATCCAACAGTGGCAGAAAGGCTCTCCTTTCAAGTTCACGACTTCTTTAAAGAGCAGCCTGTCAAAGGCGCAGATGGTGAGCCGACCTCTTGTTTCCTGATTCAGTCGCCTCGATTCCCTCTCTCGAGTACAAAAGCTAACAGAGTGCTAGTCTATTACTTTCGATGGATTCTTCATAACTATTCTACGCCGTATGCTGTTAAAATTCTCAAAAGCCTCATTCCTGCACTCAAGCCAGGATCCCGCATCGTCATCAACGATTACTGCATCCGGGAACCGGGGTCAGAGACTCTGTGGGATGATAAGCTCCTGAGAAGTCTAGATATGATCATGGGGGTTCTCTTCAACTCGCAAGAGCGAGACGAGCAGGAGTTCCGCGATCTATTCAAGGCTGCCGACCCTAGATTTCACTTCAAGGTATGTTGAGGGACAATATTTCTCCCCCCTTTCTCTCTAGCATTGTTTTTCCTCTGGGTTGTAATCATTTACTAACATACTATTAGGGCGTCCTAAGAGTCGAAAACTGTAAGATGAGCGTTATAGAGGCAGTATGGGACGAGTAGGATCTTGAACAACTTGAAGAAACAAGACGTAAGTATACGAAGCAAAATACGGGCAATGGCAAGAAAATATCGTACCTACCTAGGAAGCTTGAAGATGATTTTGCAAAATGTTCATATTTCACTATTAGGCTCAAATCTTTCAACAAGAAACACGCGTAATTGGTTTAGTGGTAAAATTCTCCGTTGCCATCCGAGCAACGTCGGGGAGCCCTGGGTTCGATTCCCAGATTACGCAGCACATTTCTTTTTGTTCTTCTCTCTTGTTGCATCTTCAGACACATTGGCAATTAAACTGGCACAATTCGTTTCATCTTTTCATCGAATTCATATTAGACTTGATTCATTTTTTTTAAGGTAACTTTTCACAGAGATAATAATTCACTGACAGCACTGAACAACAAAAACATCAACCATCAAAGTCACAATCAATATCCTGTATTCTTACTCTGATCTTCCCTTAATCTCCTCCCAGCATCACTCCGGCTTGACTCCTCCATACCCTCCCTTTTCCGCAATCGTATTCGCCATTTCCACCATGGGCGCCTCACCGAGAATGTCAAACACAGACAGCTGCACGCCATAGGTATTCAAAATCCAGTTCCGAAACGTGACGGCCACGAGGGAATCGACACCATACGCATTCAATGACTGATTCATATCAATCTCAGAAGGCAGCATGTTCATCGCCTTGCCCAGCATGGCAGATATGCCGGCGCAGATAATAGACGCTGCTTCTTCGATGCTCGCAGCTGTTTTGAGCATAGACTTCATGTCTCTATTTGCTCCGCCGTTGCCATCGTGTAGATTTGGTGGAGGGATATCAACCAAATTGAGGTATGAATACAGCGCTGTACGAGTCCAGTAAGCATCCGGGGTGTTAATCTGCGCATTAATACCTCCTGTGCCAACCGCCACAGTTATCTGAGCAGGAACAGGCACTCCTGGCGCCATCTCACCCGTAATGGCATGCTTGACGACCGTGAGGAAATCTTCATGCTGGATGCCAAAGAAACCATTGGAGCGCAACGTATTCAATATTTCTTCGTTTTCGGCCAGCATCCCGGCTCCCAGGACTGGGCCAAGGTCAATGGCCACAGCATGTTTCCCTTGCTGTCGTAGATATCTTGCAAATGAGTCTTGGAAACTGTTACCCGCGGCATAGTTGGCCTGGCCACGGTTGCCGATAACGCCGGATGAGCTGGCGAGGAAGATGTAAAAGGGGTCGTGTCCCGCAGCAGACATTGAATGATATAGATTCCAGGAGCCGTGTGTCTTTGGCGTGATGGCCTCATTCCAGTCATCAAAAGTCATGTTGTCAAAGACTGAATCCCTGAGTACAGCAGCGCACATAAGCACACCTTTGATAGGCGGCATCTCTGAAGTAAGAATTGTTTTGACAAAGTCGTTCAAAAAAGCTTCGTCGCAGATATCCACGGCATAGGCTCGCGCATCAACTCCCTTTAGCCAAAGGTTCTCAACAAACGCCTTTGAGGCACCCGACGAAGCACCGGATCTCGAAAGGAATGCCAAGTGCCTCGCACCGTTGCTTACAAGCAGTTTAGATATACTCTTGCCAAGACCTCCTAGACCACCTGCCAATACGTATGTCCCTTCGGGATCGAGAGACTCTTGGAGAGACTTCGTCGCATCTTGATTCAACACAGAAACGGTGCTTGAGTTGTTTTCGGCCACAGTCAGCGAAACATAGCCAGTATAAGGCGTCTGCTGAAGATACAATAGACTATCTGTCATTGCACCGATATCAAATGACTGCTTGAGCTCGGTGGACAAGGAAGGCTTGTAATTGACGCTCTCAACGAACTGGGTCGCCAGGTCAAAAAGCTCTGCCACAAATGCTGTGTCTTCCTTGAGGAATTGACGCAGATCCCAGTTAACAACAGTCACTGATGTTGGTGGCATATGACTCGAAGTAGGAGCCATAGAACTGTTGGCGAGTCGAACAATGCTGCCGCCTATAACCCAAGTTAGCTAAATGAGACAACCACGACAGAGCTCGAAAAGCGTAACTATCATGACTTACATCTTCGAACGCAGTCAAACTGTGCGTCAAACGCTTCCATGGTGGGATTAAACACGCAGTCCACACCATTGCCATCAGTAGCCCCTAGCAAAGTAGCGACAAAAAATCCAGAATCAACTTCGAGGACATGATCTTCCGGTACCCCATGTCGTTCTAAAATCTCTCGCTGTCGCTCAACGTGTGGGCCAACAGTGGTAGCAAAGACTTCAGCGCCAATGGCAACAGCTAAATCGACGGCAACGAGCCCAACGGCACTGGCACCGGCTTGAATCAATACTTTGCGGCCTCTCTCAATTCTTCCGATGTAAACGAGGGCAAAATAGGCGCTGATAAGAAAGCTCGGGATAATAGCAGTGTCGACACGTTTGACGAAGTGCGAAGTGACTCTCAAGAAGTTCTGAATCGCGCCGTCAGGAGCCAGGGCAACAACACTGTCGCCTACAGACAACCCTTTGACCTTACTGCCAACTCGAGTAACATGGCCCCTGACGTCTAGACCTATAATCGACTCTTTGGCTCTCCCAAGAGCGATCTCGAAATCCGCGAAAGTCAGGGGCATTTCTTTGACAGCAACCTCAACCTCGTCCGATTTCAAATACTGTAGCTCAGACTCAGCGAAAAACAAACTATCCTCGCCGATGCTAGGATTGTTAATTGTAAGCTCAAGTCTTGAGCCAGCGGCGAAGGGCCTTTGAGAGAATCTCGAAGACGAAATCTCATCCTCAATGACACGATTGATAGGCCGAACTGTAATGAGACGAGGGATAAAGATTTTCCCGTCACTCTCGGCAAACTCTGTGTCCTGTATGGATGACGATCTGGTGTCAAAGGCTACATCAAGAAGGCGCAATACGCTCTTCACAACGGCGGCATCACCAAGCTTCGATTCCTCTGCCAGGTCAAAAGTAGCCAACGATTTAAGGGAGTCTTCAGAAATGAGAGTCCTGACAAGCCCGACAATGGGCGATCCGCGAGGATTCTTGCAGCTCATCTGAGCCCCCCGAGTAATCCAGAGCATGCTCCTAGCATGAATCTGCAGCAAATGAAAATTGTCAAAGTCTTCTTTTTTCCAGTTGAATATGGAGTGATCTTTAGAATGAGAAGAGCTTGAAAGTTCAAGCAGCGAGATAACCACCTTGCCTGCGAGAGTAGCTGGATTCTCCAGTGCTTTACCGAGAGTGGTGATAGAGACACCGAAAGAGAGCTCATTAGCTTCTTCGAGGCCTCTGATGGAATCGGTAAAACTTTTTACCTCCAAGCTCATCTCTGGTGGAATGAGAATGACAACAGGCCTTGTTAATGGGAGTGATTTGTTACTCCTATAAGCCTCAAAGATGATCTCGCCTTTGCTCTCGTTGTGGTGGATCAGAAATTTATCATCTCTCGTGTCATGTTCTATTGTTTCACCGCCGAATGTACGCCTGGCCTCACACGTCCCCATTTCATGCGATTCTTCCACGACAAACTCTCGCGTCAAGAGCAAGCCGTCATCTTTCAAGTACGCTTTCAAGGTATCGGTATCTAGCCTGGTATTGTCGCAAGCCACAATCAAATGGTAATCGTTTCTGATGCTTGACATATCGGATATCTTCTCAATGAACCCTTGCAGCGGGGTATCTTCAAGAGAGGCAAGCACCTGAGACGCAGCATCATCTCCTTCTACCTCAACAATTGTGTATCTCAAAAGCTGAGGGGCCACGTCTTGGCCCGGACTGATGGCTTTGAGAGTCGCCTGCGACAGCTGATAGCCACCGCCTATCTGAAGGATTGATAATCCTGCGTATTTGTGAGCCATAAGAGTAACTTGCTCGATATACGACCTGGGACGAGCAAAAGTTGCATCCTCGTTCCAGGTGATCTCGCTGCAGAGGTTACGGTTGGTGGCTAGGAAGCCTCCTTCACCAACTGATGGGTTATCTAGGGCGATAAAACGTAGCCCTTCGATGACAACGTAAGATTGATCCCTCCGCGTCTGTTTCATGAAAATGGTTGCTTCCGCGTTTCGAATGCCTGTTACATTGGCTGTAGAATAGCCAGTGAAGTCTTTGCCGGATTCCGGATCGCCCAAGTTTGCTGTTACAAGAAGGCTCTTGATGAAAACTGGGACCATTGGAAGCGACTGGACTGCCAACAGAGTATGAATCATTGAGTCCAAAGTAGTTGGATGGATAAGGTGTGGATACTCAAACTTGCAAGGCATCTTGGATTTGGTATCCGGAATTTTGACCCTGCTCACACACTGATTGCCGTTTCTGCGAATTTCGACAATATTCTGGAATAGAGGCCCGTAGTTCATTCCGATGGAGTCAAGATGCTCGTAAAGCTGGCGTGGAATCACCGATTCTTTGCACACGTCGCTCATGTCACTATGACGCTCTTCATAGGATTGAAAGACAGTCTGCCAATTTCCAACCTTGTAGTGAAAACGCAAACTTCCGCTGGCGTGTCGGTCCCAGGATCGACCCTGGGGCCTGGAGTAAATTGTGAACGACTTTCCACCAATCTTGCCATTGCCGACTACACTGGTTGGATCGTCCTTGATGTTGAGAGATACTTCCAACCCATAGGCCGTATCGGGGACAGTCAAGGCTTTCTCAATCTTCATATCTATAAGCTCGTAGCCCAAAAGATTTTGTGTATCCTGAGCCAATTGCTTTGCCCCCTCCAAAACCATTGCGATCATGCCTGAAGCCGGGTAGACTACTGTCTTTTGCACCTGGTGGTCTCGAATCCAGGGATTTTCCGAGATACGCAAGAACCCGCGCCACCTTGGTTCAAAGGGCACAATAGAATCTATTACCCTGGCTCCAATAAGGTCCATTCGAGGGTGCTCTCTCATACGGCTCTCAAGACTCAGTTCGGCCTCATGCCAGTATTTCTTGCTGTGGTTCCATGAGTATGAGGGTAAATATGAGAGACACCTCAAAGAAGTCTGTTGATAGCCCTTTGAAACGACGTTTCTCATGTTAACAGGATATCCTCTGGACCACAAAGAACCAAGGAGGCTGAGCACTGTCACGCTCCCGTTTTGCTTTCGTTCAAGAACTGAGTGGTAGCTGAGGTTCGAAGCACCACTAATAGTAGCGAGGATATCAGCTGTGGGCGATCGAAGGGCTGCAGTGGGACTAAGCTCTATCAATACATCTGGACGGACATTTGCTGGGACGCTTATCAGCGACTGAACGGCTGAAACGTATTGAACAGGAGAGATCATATTATTTGCCCAATACCGAGCATTTAGCTCACTGCCCATAACCTGTTTGCCAGTAACAGAAGATATCATTTTGACTCCCTCGAAACACTTGTTAGCGACAATGTCTTCGAGAGAGTCAGTATAATCGTGCTCAACAATCTTCATGTGAGAGGAATGGTAAGCAACTGAAACATTAAGGACCTTGGTGAAGATGTTCCTTTGGCGCAATTCGCTCGCGATAGACTCGATGGCATCGGCTTGGCCAGAAATTGTAACTGATCGGGGACTGTTAACGCAGGCAACTTGCGCAGACTTATTAGCTTTGACGAGATATGCTGATGCTTCTTCAGCTGACATTCCAACAACCATCATGCGTCCTATGAGCTTCGGAGCTCTGGCCGGAAGGCTGGCCGCAGCAAGTCCACGGTAATAGGCAATTTTCCATGCGTCATATCTTGATATAGCCCCAGAGGCATAGGCGGCGGCAATCTCGCCCGAAGAGTGACCAAACACATAACTGGGCTTGACGTCAAAAGATCGAAGTAGATCTACAAGCGCAATCTGAAGAGCTGTTGTCGCAGGCTGTGAGATTTCAGGATCAGATATACGTGTGCTATCTGCCCCTCTAAATATCTCTTTAAAAAGGTCAAATCGGGAATCGAGGGCAATCTGTATGAAACAGCTCGCCTCCCGGAGACTGGTAGCGTATGCGTTGAATGGCAAAAGATCTTTACCCATCTGTGCCCACTGGGCACCCTGGCCGCAAAAAACGAAGCCTAGCTTAGGCTGCTTCTTTAACGACGAACGAGTCGCACAAGTAGCATCAAAATCTCGCATCTTGTTTACAAGTTCAGCCACAGATGCAGCCACAATGTATCCTTTCCATTCCAGATTTGATCGACGACAACCGAGGGTGTATGAGTAGTTGAGCAAGTATTTATCAGTGTCTTGTTGAACCGATTCAAGAGTCGGGAGGTGTGAATCCATTACACGAGACACGCCTGGTTTGTCACTTGCTGAGTAACAAAACAGTCGCACTTCTTGCCGTTTTTGGTCCAAATCTCTATCGTGCCCCAGGGATGTAATATCCATAGATGAGTGGTTTGCCGTTAGCTTTTTCTCTAAGAAATAGCCAGGAGCTTCATCCAAGATAACATGGGCATTGGAACCACCAAAGCCAAAAGAATTGACGCTTACACGACGAATGCCAGGAATAGGCCAATCGAGCATTTCTAATGGGACCTTGAGTTGACTTAGTAATTGAACATAGTCGTGTGGCATTGGGTGGAAAAATTGTAATTACCTTGACTTTCCAATTTACAAAGTCGATATTAGGATTTCCTTTTTCAAAATTGATATTTGGAGGTATGCGACCACGTTCCAAAGTCAAGATTCCCTTGATCAAGCCCGCAATGCCGGCTGCGCCTTCAAGATGGCCGATATTCGTCTTCACCGAGCCGACTAGTATCGGATTGTTGGCAGAGCGGACAGAAGCAATAGTTTTGGAGATGGCTTGGAGTTCTTGACAGTCGCCTGCCTGCGTTCCTGTGCCATGGCACTCGATGTAGCCAGTCTGATTGAAATCCAGGCCAGCCGAAGCGTAGACCGCACGGATATTGGCAAGCTGAGCATCTCCGTTAGGAAAAGTAATACCTAGTAACTCATTAAAACTTTTATTTTGTCAGAGAAGATGATGATAGTAAGCCCTTATAAACACACCTTTGGTGCGCCCGTCTTGATTTACAGAACTGGCCCGCATGACAGCGTGGATGGTGTCGTTGTCACGGATGGCATCTGACAGGCGCTTCATGACTACAACTCCAACGCCTTCGCCTCGGCCATAGCCATTCGCTCGAGAATCAAATGTGAAACATTTCCCGTCTGGACTTAGCAAGCTCAGCGCTGTCATCGGAAGCATTGTCTCTGGAGTCAATATCATGCCTGTTCCAGCAGCCAGAGCCTAGTAGTATACAAGTCAGATCTGGAGCTACAGTGTCTCAAGTCAATTGGTCTTACTAGGGATGTCTCTCCTGTTCGAAGGCTCTGCGCAGCTAGATGAACTGCAACGAGGCTTGAGCTGCAGCCAGTGTCGACAGTCATGCTAGGACCGTGTAAATTGAAGAAGTAGGATATGCGATTTGACATAATTGCGGTTCCGTTTCCCGTTGCGGCATATCGTGGCGTCCAATTTGGGTCACGGAGGCTGATATATTCGTAGTCTGATGGTTCAATGTCGTTAGCATAGTGATCCTTAAACGCCGCTCAGACGGCTCAATGTTTGATGCTTGCTTACCTTTCACAAAGGATCCCACGTACACTGCAGCATTGGTACCATCAATATCTTCTTTTCGAATGCCAGCTAGAGGTCAGAAGCCATGTTAGCTTTTGCTGTTAATGTAAGTGACGGTCTTGACTTTGGATCATGCGCACCATTTTCGAGAGCTTCGTACGAAATCTCAAGGAGCATCCGCTGCTGGGGGTCGACTGCGTTCGCTTCCTCTGTTGGGATCGAAAAGAACTTGTTTTTATCTGTGAGTATGTGCCTGCCAAAAGTATTGGATGATTCTTGTATTCTTACCGTAGCATCAAATGCACTGACATCGTCCTTTAAGAAATGCGCTCCCCTGAATGAGATCTGCAATGGGGTCAGTGGAGCACATTATGACAGCTCGAAGAAGCCAAGTAGAAACATACACTTCCCAACCTCTGACTGTTTGGGTGATAGTAGCCATCAATATTGAAACGATCTTCAGGAAACTCCGACCACTGCGATTCCTTTCGCTCTAGCACATCCCACAGTCTTTGCGAGGAATTTGCATCGCCCGGGAAGCGCAGTGCCAAACCAACAATAGCAATGTCATCCATGCTGATGAATGCAATTGGTAGTCTGTAGTTTATCAACTATCCGTATTTCAAGGCACTTGTTCGTCTTTTTGCGTATGTGTATAAAAGTTTACGAAGAACTGTGTTGAGAGGAGGTGGAGCGGCAGAAATGAGCTCGCTTTCGCACCTGGTAGTGGGGATTATACAATGGAACAAGTCTTGAAGGACTTGGAGTGGACAATAGGTCAAAAGTCTTCAATAGGGGGTTCATTGAAAGACTTTATACTCTAAGAAGAGGTTCTTGAGATTTGGTTTACAAAGCCTGCGTCACGGAATCACAGCTCCATGTTGGCCAAGTACCAACACCTCGCCGTGTGAATCTGAACATAGGTATATCTTTCCGCCTTATAATGACGTTGGTGATATTGCAAAAGTCACAGCCTAAGGAGATTAGGCGCTTGTAAAGTTTGCCCCCAGAGAATTGATTGAAAGTTCCGGGGCATGCTGCAAACAGCAATCTGAATGGCGGCAAACAACCGTACGGTGACGAATAGGCGTGGAGACATGTGAGTTGTTAGCTTTAGCTTTATCTGCACAGGGCCGCCGAGTTGACCCGGGGCGTAGCTACTAATCTGGAAACGGGCCGTCACGGGGACAAGAGTTGTGAAGGTGTCGATGCCCCATGAGACAATTAGTGGTGTTGGGTGGGAATCCTGCAGGAAGCAGGCCCATGCTCCTACATGTGGAACAGGTAGTATCGGGGCGCTAAGAACAGACGAAAGGAATGCCTACAGAGCTGATTTCACCAGCTTTGATTAAGCTCATCCGTCACGCTCCGTACAGCATCAAGCTTTCTGCAAGGAAGAGTTCGCAGGAATTGCCGAAAGGAACGAAGTGATCCTGAAGATTTGCGTCTGGGGTATTCGATCAACCAATAGGAAGATTGCCTTGACATGAGAGGCTGAAAAGAGTAGCTGGATTTCCAATGAGTCGGGATATTTCTTAGATAGTCTTGTGAAAAGCCCTTCGGAGTGACAGCTGGTATACCATCGAGCCTGGTTTGTTAAGAGGTGTATCTCAAGCAATTGCGAGGATGCTCTCAATACTTGTCTGATATGATTCAGTAGTTAATTGCAATGATTAGTTCATAAGGATGTTATACTTGAGAGCATCTCAGAGTCGAAAAGGGAATATCTGATTTGGATAGCCCCTGATGTTCAGGTCGCCACGCCGCATATGGCTGGCTTCAACAAGAGACGAGCCATATTCATGCCAAATTTGCTCAACAGTGCAGCTAATTCTAGGACTTGGTGACGTCCACGCGCCTAGAGAAGTTGCGGTCAAAAGGTCTTGTAAGCCGACAGTAGAAGATGGTTCGGGTACAGGCATTTGGCCTGCGTACTAGTTGGCCAATGTTGCCGTGTGATGAGTTGATATCCCACTGCTGGGACATCTCGATAAGGGGCAAAAGAGAGACAGGGAGCACAATAACGTAAATAGATGGTTGGCTTGTGTTATATCAACAGTACAAAGCTGAAATAAGGACGGGGTTCGAATCTCGCACGACAATAGATATTTCGACCTGAGATATGACTTCGAGATGAACGCCCTGGATGACAGATTTGGTTTGTCAACTAAATAAAACGCTTCCACGAAAGACCGTATCAAATATGACTGGACTACAAAAAGCAAGTCAGATCGTTATAGGGAGCGCGTTCAATATGAAGCCCTTGCAGAACATTGGCGGCACGAAGTCAAGCATATGGTATTGTATTGGCGAATGAACACTGATGGAAGAATGTGGTGGCCGGCAGCGTGAATTGGCACCAAAGCTAGAGCGCCCCAAGATTGCATCGAAGCTGAAAACAGCTACGGAAACAAGCATCGATTGCGCAGCTCCCCGTTCAGTGCCCCTCAGATGAGGCTCGCAGGGCCCGTAGCCGTGGAGCCGGTTGGTCGGATGAATATAGAAACTATAAACCTTCAGCGTCTGCGAGCTCCACCATCGGATAAAAGCAGCATTTCTTATGGAGCTCCATATGTAGCATTCCGGCTTCCATTTCGCAATTTTGTCTTTTATGAATGAGAACATTCGATTAAACGCGCCTTCATAGTATATCCGACTGCTGAGCACAGTGCTTGAAGCTGCTCCCTTCGACCAATACTTTGAGGCAGCATTGTCCGCTGCTGCCTGGTCAAATATAGGGGGCGCACCAATGGATTGAAATGTTGAGGACTATAACCGTCCAAGTGCATCTACCAAGGAATGATGGACTGTGTTGTGACTCGACCGCTTTCCTAGCTCCCGTGACCTGGTGACACAGGAACGGCTAAGCCGAGAGAGTATCTAACGGCGTCTTTGGATCGATGTCTATTAGGCCTCTGTAGACTTCCGATAATCACTGAATTCCTCCTCGTGCTAGTGTATTATCTAGACTAGTTAGCCAGTTCCATGGAGGGAGGTCTTCTGATATAACGCCCAGGAGCCAGAAAGAGATGAGAGGGACAAACGGACAACATGCTGGCATGACAAAGCCGAGAAGTTCTCTTCTCCCCCATGCCATCGGTTTAATGCAGTATCTTGTCCATTTCAGCCGCCAGATCTCTTGCGATGCGGCTTAAGCGGCCGTATGCTGGTCCAGATCCTCGTACGATGAAACGTTGACCCGCGTACCACAGACTCATCCAGTAGTCGATCGCTACTTGCTTACTCAAGTGCTCTCACGTCTCATACGCCTGACTGGCTGAAGGAAGATGAGGTGTAACCCGGCTGCAAACGAACGGCTCGGTGCCGGGCGTCAAAAACTAGCCAAGTTTCGATGCTGCCTGCGCACTCGCCGTTTCTCTAGCGGTATAACATCGCGACATATACCAGAAAAGCCGAGATGAAAACTTGCCCCAGGACCATACGACAGTGTCACTCAAGTCAATAACTGTTCCCGCTACCCGTCAAACCATCTGCTTCCAGGGCCATTTGCTCGTATAATGCTGTTCGTCGAGTGCAGAGCGAGAGAAGGCTCGAAGCATCCCAACAAACCGCATGGCGCATGGCACATAGCCGCTGCAATGGCACCTAGAATAGATCCCATCCATCAGCATATGCACACCCTCATGCCAGCCATCTTGGTTACGCCTCTGCTGTAGGACACGGGTAACGTGCGTAGAGCTCCATGAGCCGCACAGGTGCAACCGAGGCCAGAAATGTTTCGGATACATATTCACTGAGGTCCCTCTTCTGGAGCAGCGGCCGTCGTCCATCGCCCCGACTCGCCGACCTGTCTCAGCACGACTATGTCTGACTTCGGCTCCCACGGCTTTCTCTGTCCCAGGACCGCCATGGCTGCGCGTGGTCTATCGTGGGAGTAGTAATCGGCGCAAAACGAAGTCTGATTCATGGATAGTCTGCGGTCTAAGATTGGTTTTTAGTGCTGAGAAAACTGTGATATCGATAGTTCCACCATCAGGTCGCGTCTTGTCTCATATTGCTCTGAAATCGTGGCGGGCAGCTCCTTCCTTGCAGCTTATCGAGCCGTGCGGCGATAGCCCAAGCCGCTCTATCACCAAAATCTACCGAAATCATCTCGCTTGGCTCTTTCTTCTCCTTGCAAAGTAGCTGTCAACAGCCAGCTTGAGGACTTTAAACCGTAAAAGCTCCCCATTCTTGATTGTCTTTATCCCTCCCCTTTTTGCAAGGAATCGATCGCCTGAAATCGAGAGAAAGCAGGCACTTCTCGAAAGCATGGCAACAGAGTATCGTGTGTCGCTCTCTTATCCGAACCCATCTCTGGGCCAGATGGGGACAGGATCACAAACTTCCAACTCTATAGATGACGAGGCCTCTCGCTCAAAATTTGGCTATGGAAGGTCGCAGCAGGTCAAGGGCTTGCAACAGGTGGTCTTAGTCGTAACGTATGGCTCATCTCTCATCTACACTCTAATTCTAACGATGACAGGCTGCTTAATGGTCTTTTAATCTCGACCCTCGATACGTCGATCGTATCTACCTCTTTGGTCACGATATCAAATGACCTGGGTGACTTTGTCAATGCGCCGTGGGTCATATTGGCGTATTTGTTGACATACATGGGTTCGAATCATGCTACCAGGCCTAGAGAAATAGTCCACTCTAACAAGGTTCATTAGGATTCGCCGTCTGCATCTCGAAAATGAGCGATATATATGGACGAAAGAACATTCTCGCTCTTTGCTGGGTCATTTTCTCTGGATTTTCTTTGGGCTGTGCCAACGCTAAGAATATGGCTGCACTGTACGTATTTTGTGACCGACGTTCCCTCCACCGCAAAGAACGAAAGGAGTTAGTGACACAAGCCTCTTAGCATCGTTTGTCGTGCATTTCAAGGCATAGGAGCATCAGGATTATACAGTTTGACGCAAATAGCCCTTGTCGAAGTCGGCCCTGTCCACCGCCCTAGTCTGATGGGAGCCTTGATCGGAGCAACGCTTGCTGTCGCCTTTATTCTGGGCCCTCTCCTTGGAGGTCTGATTTCAAGGCTATCTGACTGGAGGTGGCTTTTCAACCTCAAGTGAGTTCAAGATCATGTCAACTCCCCTTGACCTGTGCTAAATTACTGTTCGTGTTTGTGACCGCAGCATCCCCTTTGGACTGGTTTCTATCCTCGCTATTACAAGCTTTTGGCCTCAGGAGGAGGTCTCTCACTTGCTGTCCTGGGAGGCATTTACCAGTATTGACTTTTTCGGTGGCGCTACTCTGCTTTGCAGCTCATCCCTGCTTGTCTTTGCCATTCAACAGGCTGGCTCTCAGACGTTTGCATGGTCTCATCCGATAATCATCTTAGCCTTTGTCATATCCGGCTTGAGCTGCATTGCATTTATATGCTGGGAGCTGATTCTAGATTCGAAGAGGCATCGTCATATTGAGCCAATATTTCCAATTCGTTTGATGCTGAGCAGGGTCTATGCTTCAGGTCTCATGTAAGAGCTCCATTTTCGTGTACCCCTGAATAAGTCTTGACGTGGTGATGCAGACTTACTCTTCTCACGGGATTTTCATACATTTCTCTCACAATTGTTATACCGGAGCGATTCCAAATCGTCAATGGAGACAATGCTCTCATAGCCGGCATTCACCTGTTCCCACTTCTTTGCGCTTGCGCGATCGGATCCTTTCTGGGCGGAGCAATATCTAACCGGCAGAATAACACTTCATATACACTCATTGCGTCATCTTGTCTCCAGCTTATAGGGCTCGGATTGATGACAACGCAGTCAAGAGAAAACAGTACACAGCCGTCTCAGTACGTGTATCAGGCATTGTTCGGATTAGGAGTTGGCCTCTGCTTTTCTGCAACGACCATCATGACGAGCATCTCTACAGCCGAGTCAAGTGAGAAGGCTACCGCACAGGGCGCCATTGCTCAGGCCCGAGTGTTGGGGGGCAGCATAGGGCTCTCCATCTGCACAGTCATATTTAACATTCACGTTAACCGATATTTAGAAGGACACTTGACCGAACCACAGCTTGAAAGTCTTCATCGATCGCCGTTATCAGGACTGCAACTACCCATCGACCAGCGAGATCTAGTTAAGACCGTCTATGCTGGAGCATATGCTGAGGAGATCAAGATTATGGCCTGTGTTTGTTCAGCTATGGTTGTTGCCACTTTTTTCACTCTGGAAAGGCACCCTGCGCCTCTTACGAGAATAAGGTCGAGATCAGAAGGAGGCCGGTTTTCAAAGCGTGGGAATGACTCAGAGACGGAAATGATTAGCATGGGCAGTGCCCGACAGACAGCATAAGCTGGCTCTAACCATTTGGATCACCACATTACAGTTGTTTACTTCCTAAGTGCGACATACGTGCGAGGCATGTTCCTCTTCTGTTCAACTCATGCAAGATGATCAATCTGACATTTGCTGAGATTCTTTCCCCATTGTTCTGCTTACCTATGATATATCTTGCTACACAGTGTGCTTGTTTTTACTTTATTTTACTCATTTCTCGGTCCGTTTCGTTTTTTTTTCTTCACCTTCTTGTTTTTTTTTTTTTTTTTTTTTTTCTTTTTTTTGTTGAAACAATTTGGTCATGGGGTTGCAATTTGGGGTTTGTTGTCTGGTGTTACGGCTTTGGCTTCCTGGGGGACGAGCGGTCACGTCAATGTATGATATGAAGTCTTTTCTTTTAGTTTATTTCTCCCACGTATTCCTCTCGCATAGGAGAGCATAAAAGGGGTATAAAACAGGCGTCTTCGAATGCACCTCCTCCTCTGATATAAGCTGAGAACCATTCAGTGGCAACGCCAGGTTGTCTGTGTTCCAAAGATAGCTCACGTATTCAACACGGGCCCTTGGTCACCATAGATGGGGTCCTTGCTAAACCAGGGTAGATTCTTGATGTTGCTTATTTTGGACTCTTCATCTTGGCTGCCGTAGCACATGTCCCAGTTGGCACCATTTGGGTAGCATCCAACCATCAAAAAATGATCGCCATCCATGTCATCAAGCAGACGGTGGCCCACGCCTGCAGGAACTACAATCACATCTCCTCGCCCGACGACGGATTCTACACGCCCAGGGTTGTGCTCGCCTCCAAAACAGAGCCTCGCACGGCCGGCCGTGACGCACAGCACCTCGTGAGTTGTACTGTGGAAGTGCGTGGTGTCATACATTGTATAGCGCCATTGCGGGGTGACGACGCCAATCTTGCAGACGTGCGATTCGATCCGGTCCGCGGAGGCGTCTGCAGGGACAAAGGCGGAGTGGTAGATGATGAGGGGCTTGGAGTGGAGGGACGAGTTGGGGATGAGGTTGTGAGCTGGAATTTGGTGTTTAGAGATGCGGAGCTTGGAGAGGGGCGTGAGATAGGAGTCGGGAGGGTCCATTGTTGGCTGTAAATGGATGATTGAGAAGAATGAGATTGGGAATGGGAGTTTTGCTAATACTCTTCTTTTACTTCTTTTATTGGTTAACTATAGGTATTCTGCCTTGGCATCTTTTTGACGTGGCAGTGGTAGGACTGGGAGGTCAAGATGATGTAATGCGAAGAGATGTGGCGTGTGGCAGTAGCAATCAGTTTGCCCCTTGTGCTTCTATTCCCAAATGCCTAGTGCTGCAAGTGTTTTATTTTTCTTGGCAAAATGTGTTGCATGCATTTAATAAGCATTGGCGTCCTTCATCGATACTCAGGTACAAATATAATCATGCAATGATAATGTAATCAAGACACCCGCCTCTTAATATATAAAGTTTTCATTAGTGTTTTTTACTATTAGTTTTTTTGGGGAGGCTTTTGATTCTAAGGTCTAAAATGGCATATTTTAGATATTGCCGTGCAAGTGCTTATAGAATTCCAAGCATGGACAACGTGGGTGAACAGTAAGTAGCTTTTCGCTATCGTTTTCCCCCGTCTCCCCCTCTTTTTGTGTCTTTCAATGACTTAGATGCCTCCCGTGAGCAGTTCCTTGAAGTAGATTGTCATCAGTCCTCCGACATCCAGGTCGCGAGCGGCCGCCTTCAGGGCCTGGTGCGCGGGACACTCGTCGTCGTAGAACCGCATGTCCTCCAGGCTGGCAAACTCAAACTTGGCGGCGAAATCGTAGCCCTGAGAACGCTGGTCGGGCTCACAGGCGCCGACGGCCATGCTGAGAATGTAGGGCTTGCCATCCTGTTTTTGGTCGAGTTAGCCCGTTTGCTCTATGCTGTGCTGTGCTGTGCTATGCTTTGTGCTGGAGAGATATTTTCATGGCTGTGCTGTGTGAGGTTTTAGATGGGATGGGCCGGAAAGTGAGGTTTTGTCACCTTTGTGCTTGTATCTCTGACGGTTTTGTAGAGGGCCAGGAGCTTTTCCTGGTGCTCCTTGTTGGGGAGCTTGAACATGGTGACTCGGTGGACGCGTTGGGCCATTTTGATGGGATTTGATGTTTCTGCTATGGCGCACAGGACGAGCTGCGGGGGGGTTTATTAGAGAATGAGACAAGATTGAATCCTCAATGGAATTGGTGTAGAAGCGATGAAATATACAGTAGGAGAGAAAGAGAGAGAGAGAGGTCAAGGATTGCGGAAGTGAAGCTAAAGAGCATTTATTATAGCGACGATGATGTGAGCATGGAATTCCTCCGTGCTGCTAGTAGGTTTGGACAATTGCCGAGTTTGGGTACTTGATGCTGCGGCTGGTATCGGGAGAACGAGTCGAGTAACTGAGGGGGTCTTTTCAGCGCGGAATGAAATCGGCTGGCCGGCCAAACGGTCGTCTTATGGGCGATGCGGGAGAAAGAGATGAGCAAATGAATGTGTCTGATTTTTAATTATCTACTATACTAATCAATATGATTTTGTGGCTTTTTCTCTCCTTATGTCTCGTTTTTCTGATGATGTGATAGCCGCGGGGTTTATAAGGGAGCTGACTTGGACTGGTGATCTTGTACAGGAGGTACATGTAGATGTACTGCTATCCACAAGAGCCGACTAAATGTACAAGCGGTACTGGCCGAGGACGTGGAAGCAAAAGTTGATTACCTGCGCTAGATGAGCTGCCTCACTTTTCCCCAGAAAGAAATCCGGGGATGACCTTTTTTCCGGGAATGCACTCCGATGTACTTTGATTTCATATGTGCAGGCACGGAAGATGCAAGTACCTACTAGATCTGTCGACTAAGCAAAATGAGAGCTATGAGCCAGGACCAACATCTTTTGTTTTAGCAGACAAATGAAGTATTTCCCACAGAAGCAGGAATGAAAGAAAAATCCCATCATAAATTTGATTGATTGATAAAACGACACCGTACTTTTCTTAGTATCATTTTCGCTATTACATTTTTAACTGGTGATATGGTTAAATCGTTGCTCAAGTAGGTACATTCTGTGCTTTTATATGTCCCCAATCAAGTTCGCCTTTTTACTTAGTGGATTATCCCCCGAACCCGCCCCAAAAAAGTCTCTTTTGCCCTCCGCAAAAACTTGTTTCCTTGTACGTATATGCATGCGCGTCTCGATGAACTACCTACTAGTACCTATCTGCCCCTGAGACGTTCTCCTGAGCAACAACAAAAAAAAAATGTCGAATATGTCGAACCAGTTGTTGATCAAATGTTTAAGGGGTTCGGCCTTCTGACAGATGAACTCCCATAATTGAATCCACACCTGAAAGGCTGTTTAGTGGTATATGGTTAGAAAGTTACCATTTTACGACGCACTTACACGGTACGGTGTAGTCAAAGTGAACCTTCCGCTTGCCCTTGATGGATATATTACCAGCCTCTTATTCCAATTGATTGAGCATGCAGTATATTCATCTCTACTACGTACACTTTGATTATGCGGCCATTGTGCGATGGCACGAAAGCCTGGTCCTCAAAAGCAGCCACTTCTCTACATTCCCTCAATTTGACCAAAGCACGACTCTTGCGGGCCGGTGCCAGTTATCTTTTGCCATCATCATCAAACATATTTATAGAGTTTGGGCGATATATTGCTTTACAAATGGAAGCTTACTCAAGAATAATTCTGTAATTTTCCTTTTCCACACTGGCTGAGCACGAATTTTGAGATGCAGCGGAGTATGGTGTGGCGACCACTCGCTCAGACTTCAAGGCGCACTCTCTACATTTCTCCTCAATCTTTTAAAGAAATTCTGCAAACATCCAATCAAAGTGAAAGAAGCAAAGTAATAAGTTATAGAGTTATAGAATGAACTTTATGAAAATACCGACTGCTAGGTATTTATGACGTTGAAGATACTAAGTGCCGTGGAGCTCAGTGATTTCTCCCTTCCTATTTTTCAGACTGAAGTAATGATTAATTTACACGCTGAATTGAATTATGTTTCTACACATACAGCATGATGATATAATAGAGTACAAGCTCAGTTTCTGGAGTTTCTTTTTAATAAAAAAAAAGGTGGTGAAAACCCCTATTTTGAAGAAACCCCCTCCTCTCCTGAAAGAGACCGGATGTCTTGACGCTCCTCTATATCCCAACCAATAGTCCCGTCCATGTCAAATTATTGGAAAGACAGCGATTGCAAATGAACCAAAGTTCTGTAGACGTGTCTACTTCACGGATACTTACATATATACAAATTTGCACCGGGCGTTAAAGCCACCGGGACGCTCGTCGTCGGCCTCCGACCCGCCCGCAATCACCTGGCTCTATAGGATTGTATCTGCAGGTATATAAAGGGGCATATTTTCCTCTTCCTTCTGACATCTTTTACAACCTTCCACTATCCCCATCTTCCACTATCTCCATCTCCCACTCTTATCCCCGCAAGTATATTGCCTTCTCTTTGACTTCCTCCTCCCGCAACTCCACTCCTACAAGCATCATGTATTGCTTGGAGCATTGTTTCCACGTCGTGCCTACTCAGAAACTTGAGTTAGAAGATGTAACCCCCATCCTCAATCATTGTGAAGTCTCCTACCGTGGCTACAACTTCTACTTTTGCGCGGTGCATCAAGCCTACCACTGCATGTTCCTCGAACCCAACCTCGATCAACCATTGCGTGGCGAATGCGCTGTCTTTTACTACTGCCTGAACGTTGTCCTGGACGAAGACTATGATAAACCTGCCGAGCCGCCGGCCCCCGAGGGCAGTTATCGCAATGCCATCGCCAATCGACTGATTGATATGGATCCGTGGATCCAGGCCAGCCACGATGTCGATAACCCCCAGCATCTCCCACCCCCCGTGGCCGACGCGGGTGACTGATTTAGAGTCCCACGAGATGACGCCACGTTCCAAGGCCTCGGCGAGGTTCGGCTTTACAATCCTCGTCAAGGCCTGGCTCGTCTCTGTTTCCGTAGCCCGACGGGAGCGATTGGATGGATGCCCTGTGGCCCAGATATTGGCCGCCGCGCAGAGTTCATTCACCTGACCGAGCACGAAAGGGATGGTGATCCTGTTTTCAAGCGCATCCGCCTGTGGGCTTGCAAGATGCAAGGCTACTATTACATGCCCAAGGACATCCGCTGGTGCCTATGGGCCATGTACGTGCTTTGCACCGAGGCCCTTTACAACAACCGGGACGCGGATGAGGCTGAAAATTGGGTGATAAGCGACCTCGTCACCAGTTTATGTGTTATGCTCCGTATGCTCTTCCATGTGCTCCAGCTTCCAGTCCTTCACCCCATATCTGCGCTTGATTGGCGCGATCGTCGTCTTCAACCGTCCTGATCATTTCACAAGTTGTAAAAGAAGGATTGTTTTCAAGTGCCAAGTGAGTGATTTGAAGCAGTAGATGGGACACAGGTTGAATGGATTTTTATTTCCATTCTATCGTCGTCTATCGTTCTAAATCCAGGTACTTATCCAGTATCAAGATCGACCTGCTCAAAAGCAAATCACCATCGTCGTCATCTCACCTGCTTCCTTCTCTCAACAAAGCCACCAGCTCAGCTTCCCATTGCCAAAGAGACATACACCCCCCACACAACTCCCGCCAGCGCACCCACCAGATTCCTCCCCTGAACGGACTTGACAAGCGTAAAGTTGACGAGCGACACGGCCGGCCAGAGCTTGGCGGCGGCAAACATGAGCGACCAAAACTCAGCCTTTGCCTCTTGCCAGACGACGGCGAAATCCACGACCCTGAAGTCGACGGCGTTGGGGCTGGACCAGTACTTTGCGGCGGCGGGCAGGTTGGTGATGCGCGGGGCGTGGAGCATGGCGTGGCGGAGGGAGCGCGTAAAGGTGCTGAAGAGGAGCGTGTTGAGGGCGGCGCCGACGGTTTGGTCGAGGGTGAATTTGATGATTGTGTTTGTGAGGGAGAGCTTTGGGGGAGATTTGTCCTTGCCCTTCTTCTCTTTGGAGTCTGGAGATGATTTGGATGGTGGGGGGCTGGGATATGCGGGGAATGTTGATTCGAGAAAGTCTTGCCTGTGTGTCGAGGTCAGTAGGCAATGTGATGGCATGAGATGTATATCTGGAGGAGACAGAGATATCCAGGACATCAAGATATGACGGGCAGCGAGTGAGAGTGGGAATACTGGCTCACCAGAGAAAGTTTGGCGGCGTGCTCACCACCGCAAACAGCACAAACTGAAAGACGGGCACCCAATCTATCGTCACGACTTCCTGTGTGTACGTATTAGCTATTCTGTATGAAAAGAAAACTTGAATTTTTAAAACAAAAAGAAAACCAACTTGCATTGTTTTTGTACGCCGTAATAGCCTGCGCCAAAATGTTGGACACGGCTGCCAGGACAGAAGACTGCAGAGTTGCCTGCACAATGGGTGACGGCGCCATGGTTTCGTTTGATGGCACTGTTCTCCGGTTTTCAATTCTCTCTCTCTCTGCTTTTCTGTTTGAGACTTTCCCAGGCGTTTGCCGTAAGAGAAGCTAGGCAAGTGTTGGATATGGCTTTGAGGCTGGAGTTTTATCAGATTTCGATGGGAAGAAAGCAAGCCGAGCCAAAGCGATATCGCTTTCAAATACTAAATACTAATCCTAGGGCGGTGAAAATATGCTGTGGCGTGCGCGTTCCACCAGGCTACGGAAATCCGTCGTAGCCTAAAATACTTGCTATGTAATGCAAAGAGCGTTGATGACAAGCTGCCTGTCTACTAGGTGGTTTTGATAACACGTGGAAAATACATGAGTGATTGTGTGGGTAAAATGCCCAGTAGTTTATTAGGGACAGCTCACGCAATGCGGCTCTGACGAGGAACCAGCCAGCCATAGGAGAAAGAACACTTGTCATCAAGGATATTATGGTGTGATTATACTGCTTTTTATTGTCTTTTAGTTTGCTTTTGCGTATCATCAAATTTGCAAATATATCTGTTTCATGTACCTGATGTAAAAGACACCTGGCGCATGTTCCTTTCCTCTGTCTGAAAAGGTCCCCAAGCCTTCTCTTACACCTCGTGTCTCGTCTGGCTAGAAATTAACGGGGGATAACGTGGGATATAGCCTCTACCAAACCCCGCAGTGGAGCGGGAACCCCAAAAACGCCGGTAGCGCGGCAGTGAAGCTCATCTTGCTCTATCAGGACCTCAAACCGCGGCTTCCATACAACGCAATGTCCAGCTTTCTGGGCACCGCAGATGGACCTCTTTGTCTCGTATCTAACGCCTTTTGTAAAAAAATTATAGTGACATTGACTCCTCGTTCTTCATTCTCATAGATGCAATCCTTGAATCGTCGTCTTTCGCTTCTCTTGAAGGGTCTTTCACTTCCATTCTAGAGACTTTCAAGATCTGGTCAGAAGCCACATGAAAAAGAGCTGGACGAGATATGAGTAGAAGAAAAGAAATTGTGTCCTCTGGTTTCGCTTCGCCCTTGTGTCAGTCTGCATAGGACCTCCGGAGTTGGAAGATGTTTCCGGCAAAAGGACGTATTTCAGTGATCGCATCTAGACACACGTCGTTTCAGTCAGCGTTCTAAAGGCAGCAAGGGGACGAGTGAGGCGGTTACAAAACATACCAGAAATAAAGAATTGGCCAAGAAGGTGTAAATAAAGACCAGCCACCCGACCCAGCCGCCAGTGCCCTTGCCACCGTTGACAATCTCCGCAATGGCGATGGTAGCAATAATACCAACAAATTTATATCCAGAGTAGGCAATCAGGTCAAGTAGCTGGGACTGGCTGGAGATGCTCAGCAAGTAGCACCCCACCTTCAACGCGATGATTTCGAAAATAACCACACCGAGCGCGGTTGTTGCTGTGTATCCGAAAAGCTCGGGGTTAAATTTGCCCCTTATGCCGGCAACCAGAGTAGATAGGAGGATATATGTGACCAGTGCCATCACTATTCGTTAAAGCCATGTTAGCTGCCATTCGCCGTCCTCCATGACGAGTTATTCAATGCGCGACCAACCTGGAATGTACATATCGGGGCTGTTGATGTCATCTCGCGGGGGCAGGTAGCGCAGATCTTGACCACTCGCGCCAGTGACCTGCTTTCGGGACCAAGGCTTATGCCTCCAGGGGAAGAGGACAATGAAGAGCTTGTTGATGACGTAGAAATTGGAGACGTTGAAGTAGTATTTGAGCGCAGACACATTGACGTAGCGGCCAATCTAAGAAGCGCAAAGAGAGTCAGTAAGGAGGCAGAACACAAAGAGTCTCAGCTCGAGACGTCTAGACACGGAATATTGAAGAGAAAATCGCGTACGTTTTGTTCTACGTATTCCTGGCCATGCTTGAAGGCAGTCTGTCCAAACTGCGCCGCGACCTGGGCCGTAGGATCGTTCATGAACTGCCCGTATGCGCCAAAGGCATTGCCCATGTTGCCCCCCTGCTGCTGCTGGTATGGATTCCCCCCGTAGCCCATCTGATGCGACTGCGCGGAGCCCGGCGGCGGAGGCGGTGATCGGAGCTGAGGGACGGTCGAGACATGTTGCGGCACGGGATGGTGCAAAGGAGGCGACTGGGCCGCCCGATGCATGGCTGCGGGTTTGGCTGTGGCGTTGGCTATGCGAGGGCGAGAGAAGAGAAAAGACGTCTTCTGGCTTCAATTCGAGGCGGAGAGAGCGAGAATGAGCGCGTGGTTGGGTTGGGCCCCAGGGGTGATCGTTGCTGTGGCCGCTGTTGTCGACGACGAGTTTCGAGATGGCGAGTTTTGAAATGTGGTCGATAGCTTTGCTTGGCCTGTGAATCGAGTAGAGGCCCCCCCTGCAGCAGCGTCATAGGCCAGCTAAGGCACTGTGAGTTGGTGCTGCTAAGGCGCTGGGCTGCAGACGGGGTAGGACCAGGCCTCCAAATCTTGGTGTTAGTGGCAGCTCGTACCTGTGAGTACATGCCCACACGTGCAACACCCGCCGCTACCTCTGGATACCTCCCATCAGGTACGGATTCGCCGCTGCAGCTCTGCTACGGGGCCTGAGAGGCCACGGTATAGCAATCAAGAGCCCGTCCACAGCCAATTCCCACGTGATTCGGCTCTTGATCATCCGCGAATCGGCCTCGCTAGAAGCGTTCACGATAGTCGGGTCGCAGCTGGTCAGGATAAGACGCGGCAATTGGCAAGGACTACGAGTCATCACCAGTCTCGGGGATGGTTCGGTCGCCGGCGGAATTAGATGTAGAATCCAATCAGAAAAAGGACAAGTCCCGTCAATTATGATTTTTGACGCGTAGAGGCGCGGCGCCAAAGCCACCGACTACTGAAGTACACGCTCCTGTAGACAGATATTGAACCTTGATATCCCTAGTACGCCCTGCTATCTCCAGTTCCTAGGAGGCGCAAATCAACTTTCGCTACTCCAACTTGCAACCACACGCAGTCGCTTTTTTTGCTTCATCCCGACAAAGACGGTGTGAAATCTTCAAGCTTAATACTTGTTACTACTTTAATACTTGTCGGTCTTGCCAGGGTCGAGACTTCCCTAGCTGATTTTTTTTTTTTTTGCCTCCCAATTCCACCACCTTCCACTCCTTATCATCTATCTGATGACCAGGCCTTTTCCCTGATCTGGTCCTCAGCCTTCCTCTCTCCTCCTCTCACTGCTCCCACCGAGATCGCAAGCTATCTTCAAGTCTCCTAGATCCATCGCAGCCGGCAAATTCAACATGTTGGACGCCTTCGAGGTTCTCACCACGTCTGGTGTGGTTGTCTGGTCTAGGACTTATGCGCCAGTCAGCCCCTCCATCGTCAACAACTTCATTGCCGACACATTCATAGAGGAGAAGAAGGGCGGCATTGCGCCCACCGACTCGCAGTCAGCCGCGACCAATCCAGCCTACAAGAGCGACCAGCATACTCTGAAATGGACCTTTGTCAAGGAATTGGGCTTGATCTTTGTGGTATGGGAGTTCCCTGTCGACGTCATCCTCCGTCGCGTGCCTATACTAACAGCTGCCTCGCTTTACACCAGGTTGTGTACCGTTCTCTGCTACATCTATCATGGGTCGATAAGCTGGTGGATAATATCAAGACCATATTTGTCCAGCTCTACGGCGACCAGCTCACCAAGCCCCATACGACCCTCGTCGAGTGCCACTCGTTTGATGAATATTTCGACCAGCAGCTTCGAGAGCTGGACAGATCGAGTAATATCGGAACTATAAGCCCTATAGAAGAGGAAGCGCCCTCTCACGGCCAGCAATCGGCACCCGGCCTGACTTACAGAGGTCGCACACTCAATGGTGGCGGAGCCGGCACCCACGACACCGTCTCGACCGACTCTACGCCCATCCCAACGCCCGATGCGTCGCGCCCCTCGACCCCTGGCAACCTGGTTGTTGCCAAGGCCGGTCCTGTAGCCAAGATGTCCAGAAGAGCTCGCAAAGCTCAAAACAGTAGCTCGGCGCCGGTATCCTCTGGGGATGAGTCTTTGACCTCGTCCCGACAGAAGAAGGGCGTCAAGGCGACAAAGAAGGGGCGCAAGTGGAATGCAGAGGGATTCGCAGACGAAGAAGACGATAGCCTACAGCTGGATTACTCCCAGCCCAATCTGGCAAGCGAGTCGGAAGCCGAGGCAGTTGGGCGGTCCAGCGCGCTGGATGCTGTCGAGTCGTCGACCTGGGGATCTAGGAGTAAGGGGAAATTCATTCTCAAAGACTTGGGAGATGAAGTACATGATATCCTGGCGTCGGCAGAAGCTGAAAAGGCCGAGAAGGCCGCTCGCGCAGAGTCCAAGACGGGCCTTTTGGGGTCTGGAGTCAACACCATCAGCGGCCTCTTCCGAAACATTGTGGGTGGCAAGACGCTGACCAAGGCGGATCTTGAAAGCGCAATGAAGGGCATGGAGGACCATTTGCTGCGCAAGAATGTTGCCCGCGAAGCAGCCGTTCGCCTTTGCGAAAGCGTCGAAAAGGAGTTGGTTGGCGTCAAGACAGGAAACTTTGAAAGCATCAACGCCAAGATCCATTCGGCAATGGAATCCTCTCTTACCAAGATGCTCACCCCCACTTCATCGCTTGATCTCCTCCGTGAGATTGACTCCATCACATCTCCGCCCGTCACGTCGCTGCGAAAGGCTCGGCCCTATGTCATTTCCATCGTCGGCGTCAATGGTGTCGGCAAGTCTACGAATTTGTCCAAGATCTGCTTCTTCCTGCTGCAAAATAAGTACAAAGTCCTCATCGCCGCAGGTGATACTTTCCGTTCCGGTGCTGTTGAGCAGCTCGCCGTGCACGTACGAAACCTCAAGGAACTCACAGCTCGAGAAGGTGGACAGGTAGAGCTGTATCAGAAGGGATATGGCAAGGATGCTGCGACTGTTGCCAAAGATGCGGTTAACCATGCGACCCAAGAGGGCTATGATGTGGTCCTCATCGATACGGCTGGACGGAGACACAACGATCAAAGACTCATGTCATCATTGGAAAAGTTTGCCAAGTTTGCCCAGCCTGACAAGATTCTCATGGTTGGCGAGGTACGTTTCCATCAGATACCTGACATACTGGTCCATCTGCTAACTAACATCTCCAGGCTCTTGTTGGAACAGACTCCGTCGCTCAGGCTCGCAACTTCAACGCGGCCTTTGGCTCCGAGCGCGCCCTGGATGGTTTCATCATCTCCAAGTGCGATACTGTCGGCGACATGGTAGGAACTCTAGTCAGTCTGGTGCATGCGACCAACGTGCCCGTGGTGTTTGTGGGAGTCGGCCAGCACTACTCTGACTTGAGGAACTTTTCTGTCAAGTGGGCTGTGGGAAAGCTGCTGAGCAGCAACTAATAATGTATAACAAAGAAAATGAGCACATGAAACACCCCCTTTTTAAGACATTGGTAATTTTGGATATATAATATGATAACGGTATGCGGAGCCAATCGAAGAATTGACCAACTCTGCCCAATTATCTTAATAAAATTTTGCTTCAAATCCAAATGCATTCACAATATAAAAAGTAAAGCCGCATCAAGTACTTTAAATCTCCTTTGGTGATCTTCCCTTTTTCATCATTAATACTATAATCCTGCATACTAGTCCATACTATGCAATCGAATTTGGTCATTCTTTTCAATCTAGCATCCTCCCATCCTGTGTCATATCATAGCCCCCTTTTTCAATTTCACATTAATCGCCAAGGACGGGCTACAGTGAGCGCGATAACCCTGGGGTTCATATCAATCCGTCATCCATCCATCCATCCATCCATCCCACCATGCATATTAAAAAAGAGACAAATACAAAGGAGACAAGGAAAGAGGAAAAAGAAAAGAGCAGAAAATATTGAGACAGAAAAAAACCAAACAAACAGAGAGCTCAGCGGAGCAAAACGAGGTCAACGTCTGAGTTTCAGGGAAGAAGAAGAAAATATAATATGTATCAATATCGAAAACCGAAAATAAAAAACCCATCCAGCTTTTTTTTTAAAAAAAAGGAGAATGTGTTTTTTTTTCTCTTGTTGTTTTCAATGGCATAGCGTCGAGGACGGAATCTCTTTTTTTTTTCTTTTTGTTTTGTTTTTTGGTGTGTAGAGTTTTTGCGTCAATTTTTCAAAAATGAGCGACTGATCAAACAAGCAGCACATAAAATCCAAACGGGTATCTCTTTCTAAGGGTGGTTGTTTTCGCATTCTGATAGTTTAATTTGCAGGACGTGGCAAGTGACTTTGACTTGACGTAAACCTCAAGTTCGTGATGAAATACATGCATATAGCTGTATAAATCTCTCTTCTTTTCGGCGTAAGGAAGAAATAGCGAATATTAACGTAAAAAAAAAAAAGGTACGAGACAAAGGAAATAGTAAGGGGATAACAATCTTGTAGGATTACTCAGAGCGTATAGCTCAAGCATATATATCGGCTTTCTTTCTTCCACGCCAATGCAAAACATCATCTTCCTCAGTCCTCTTCAAAGAAGTCATGGTCGTCAAAGTCGCCAGGCTGCGCGTCCTCATCGTACACATTCTGATGTCCTAAATGAGGAGGTGTCACTGGCTCAGCTGCCAACTCCTGACGTCGAAGGGGAAGGTCTTGGAAGGGCCTCTTATCGGATCGATGAGACACGTTGGAATCTGTGCGTGTTCGATCATGAACGCTCTGGCCCGTGAATCGCCTTCCGATGCTGGAAAAGGCAGTGGGCTGTTGATGGCTGTCCGGCGTGGGAGGCTGACGAAGAGCAGTGGCTGGAGGGGTGAGAAGCCCGCTCACCATGCCGCCGCCATTCTGCTGTGCCGAGTCATTTCTACTCTTAGTTGGGGTGGAATTGCCCGTGACAGCAGGCGAACTCAACACTCCTGAAATTCCTCGGAAGCTAGTCTGACCACTCTTGCGCCAGTTGTCCCAAGCAGCTGCGATAGGAGCAATGCTTTGCACTACACGCGGCGTCGCAGCTTGGATTGTCTGAGCAATGTTAGGGAGAGTAATGGCTGAGCCACCATTCATGGCCCTCTCACGCTCTTGTTCCTCCATCTGCAGGTTGGCCTTGAGTCTGATGGCAGCATCCTTGACAGCGGCGCGGTCAAATCTGTCTCTGGAAAGAGCCGCGATTATGTCTTGAAGATCTCCCTGTCTCACAGCAAGAAGCTCGCGCAGCCAGTTAATCTCGTCGTCGCGCTTCGAGATCTTGGTTGCCGCATCGGGATCAAGTTCAGCAACAGTCTGCTCAAGTTCCTCGATGTGCTGTTCGCGTGCCTGCAGCTGTTCTTGGAGAACCATGATGGATTCCCGGAGAGCTTGTGGGGAGATCCTTTCAGGCATCTCAACCCGCTCTGCTGGTTTAGCCATCACAGGGCTCAAGACCAACGAAGAGTCAACGCCAGCCGACTTCGCAGCTTGAGCTGCGGCGGCTGCGGCCTGCTTCGTAATCTCAAGTTTCTCTTCAAGGTGAATAACGCGGTCCTGGAGAAGTTCGGTCTTGGATGTAGATAAGCTGAGACGCTCTAGGAGGTGCTGCTCTGTTCGCTGACCGTCCTCAGTTGCGTTGTTCAACTGGCGCTCATGACGAGCGTGGATATCCTCCAACTCGCTCTGATGCTTTTGTTTGAGTTCGACCAGCTCGGCGATCCTGGTGGACTGCGCCTCCTCAAGAAGCATCTCGTTTTGCGCCTTGGCAGTATCAATCTGAAGCCTGAGATGGTCAAGCTCAGAGCGCAGTTTCGCGTTCTGCTCCTCGTACTCTTCCCGAACAACGTTGACCTGGTTGTTGGCATCCTCGAGCTCAGCCTGCAGAGACATGCGAGTTCTCTTGACCTCGCTGGCCCCAGATTCACGAGCCTCTTCAAACTCGCGCTGGTATCGAGCAGCCGCCTGCTGGAGCTTGAAATTCTCGCTGCGAAGCTCAGACAGCAGCCCGTCAAGACGATTGCACTCGTTCACAGCACGCATGCCAGTCCGTTCGTTATCCTGAAGTCGTTCCATTTCAACTTCAAGACGTTCACGAGTCTTAGATTCGGCCTGCAGCCGTGCTTCTAAAACTTCTTGGCGCGCCAGCATGGCCTGTTCTTTCTTGATGCGTCGCGCACTTTCCTCCGCTACCTCGCGAGCGGCCTGACCCATATCGTTCTGAAGCGAGAGGAACTTAGCTCGCCATGTCTCTCGAAGTCGTTCGTTTTCTTCCAGTTGAGAAACGACACTTTCAAGTGACTTATGAAGATGCTTGTTTTCATTCAAAGCATGACCGAGCTCGCCATGGCTACGGCGTGCGGCTTCATCAGCTCGTTCCATCTCCGCTCTGTAAGTATTGTTATCTTGGCGAACATTGCGAAGATCGGTTTCGAGGACGTTGATCCTGTTGACCATTTCCGCTTGGTGATGGGTCCAGTGATCGCGAGCAACCTCCATCTTGGAAATTTGCAGGGCAGTCTTTCCTGCGGAGTGCTCTAGTGACTTGATAGCCTGGTTTCTCTCGTCCACCATTTCGCGTAGTCGGGTCTCTTCCTCGGAGGCATTGTGTAGCAAGCGTTGAACTTCGGAAAGGTTATCTTCGGCTGCACGCCTAGCTTTGACTTCCTGCTCGTTGGTGTCTTCTTGCCGCCTGGCTCTCGCTTCAAGCTCGGCAACACGGCCGTCGAAAACGCTGCGGTTAATAACTTCGACTTCCACCTGTGCCTCTGTAGACTGTAGCTTTCGACTGAGCTCAGCTACTGCATCTTCTGCGGCCCTGCGCTCCTTGATTTCATTCTCAAGGCTCTCTTGATCTAAGCGATGTCGCTGCTCGAGATCCATTGCCTTTGTCTCAAGTTCGCGGACCCTTGCAGCAAGCTCTTCGTTGGACTTGGCTTGCAACATGCCCTCGAAAGGAACAGAGTTGATATCGTCACGAGGCGCGTGCCTGGCACTGGCAACCAACAACTCTTTGATCTCATCAAGAGACCTCAGGAAAGTTCCATCGCTAGTGGCTTCCGTATTGACGGTTGGTAGATTGCGTGATTGCGAGGCAAGAGCTTCGATAACAATTGAACGGATCTGGTCCAGTTTTCGGTCCCTCTTGGGACTCGTGGAGCGACGAGGAGCAGGCTCATCGTCTTCGTCATCAGCATCGCTCTCTTGATACTCAATTGAGCCACCACGAGCATCACGTCGAGATGAAGGAGCCCGTTGGTCTTTAGATTTCAGAGAGTGAGAGAGGGTGAGAACAGCCTTCTCAAGGGGCTCAAGTCTGGATGCCAAGAGCGTACCGACGACGTCGTTAACACGGCCATCGAAGAACTGGACACGATTCTCAAGCTTCGAATGTTCCTCCTCTGAGAAGGCGCCTTCCCAGTCACTAACTTGGTCGCTCTCAATCTCGCCTTCTTCGAGTCCGCTGCCACGTCTCAGAATCTGGGCGCTCAGCGGCGGGTCTATGAACGGATCTTCCAGTTCAGTACTCAACAATTGCTGAGACGTGTTGTTCAGAATGTCGCTATACTTGCGTGGAATAACGCTCATCTTCTCGCGCGCATGGTCTGAAGGGATATGCAGCTCATCCGACGATGCATGAGCCTCGACAGCTGGACGAGGCCACTTGAAGGTCTCAATGGATTTGTTAATGCCCTGAGAATGATCTCTCTCCATTCGTTGCATGACCGCATCAATCTCCTCGAAAGTAGGTTCGCGCTTGTCGCCATTCGTAGTAGGCGTGGCATTGAAACCGCTTGTTCCCTCTTCTGCAAACTCAATTGTGTCGTCGTCATCATCATCATCCTCTTGCCCAGCAGTAACGGCGGGAGTTGGCTCGGCGAAACGAGATGAGGCCAAGCCAACCGACTTCGGCAAGGGTAGAGCAAATCGGGACCCAGTAAGACCTTTGGGAGTAAGCTTGCGTCTGGCGATTGCAATTTGAGGATCTTCAGGAGCAGACTGAGCGTTGGGCTGTGTGGATTCGGATAACCCTTCTCCATCTGAGCGAGCCTCGCTTTCGTCTGGAAGGTCCGGGAGAGATGCTGGAGTAGCCGCTGACAAATGTCGAGGTGTCAGTTCGAAAGATGACGTCCACTTGATAGATGCTTCAGCTGGTGACGTCTCAGAGGGAGCAGCAGTAGTAACCTGAGTATCGATCTGGTCAACCGAAGACATGGAAGTATCGGCAGGCAACACAGCTTCTCCATCAACTGAGCCTTCCTCAGCAAAGCTCCGCGATTCTTTAACCGACGATTCAGCCATGCCAATGTCTTCAGCCTCAACTTCACCTTCTTCTACTTCTTCCTCTTCTTCTTCTTCTTCTTCTTCTTCCTCTCCGATCAAGTCATCTGGTCTGTCGGCAAAGAGGGGCACATCATCTATATCTTCTGCAGCGCTCTTAGCCCGCTTAGCTCTGGAGTCGTCCTGAACGCGACCATCAGGCTCTCTGATATCACCTTCAGAAGCGACTGGCGATTCACTAGTAGATCTCAAGACGGGGACGGCTCTGGATTTTTTAGGAGCAACAGAGTCGGTATGTTGATTAGGTTCGATCCTGATATTAGTAAAGATAGAATCGGTCCGTCTGGGGAATCCCTTCATGCCACCTTCAGCAGGATTGGATGCAGCACCTTGGGGTTGGAATGGTGTAAATGCGGGAGCATCAGGCCGGAATTTGGGGCCAGATGAAGAAAAGTTAAATTCGCTCTGTCCAGGGGCAAATGCCGGAGCATTGACATTGATCTTGGCTGCTGGAGGCTCCTGTTGCGGGACTCCGAAAGGAGTCTGCTCCATGGCATCTGGTGCGCCAGCATGATACACACCCGGCTGGAAGCTAGGAGTGTCAAAGTTGAAAAGGCCAGGAGTGAATGTGCTCGTGGGATTGAACTTGAACTCTGGTGCTTCCACATTGAATTTGGACAAGGAAGACTTGCTGTCGTTGGCCGAATGTTGGCTACCAGCATTGTTAAGAGACACCGCGTCCTGCCATGGGTTGCTCGAAGCAGATGCATTCTTTTGATGCTGGCTGAAAGCAGCAGCAAAGTCAATGTCCTGAATAGGTGTGCCGAGATTACTGGGATTGGTCTGGATTTCCTCATAAGCATCATCGTCGACACGATGAGTTTCCGGAATGTCGTTCAATGGCCCAAATTGTGGCATGACATTTTGGTTAACGCCTTCAACAGGTTCGTCATCCCGATAGTAGTTTTGGGTAAGGGAATGACCCCGGCTGTGAGGTCGCGGGTGGTGCAAAACCATGGGCTTGCCAGGCTCGTTGGCAAAATGCTCAACTGGCGCAAAGCCGCCGGCAGAAGGCTGATGAGCATGCGCAGCAACAAAGGGCTGGTGAGCAACGGCTTCTGCTCTCGTCTGGGGATTGTAATCTTCATGTTCCAGCTCATTGCGTAGCTGTTCCTCCAGATGATACTCGGCATCATCAATCTCGGCTTGTAGCTGGTCTGCATTGCGCTGTACAGGCTCGGGGGTTTTGGATGGACTCTTGCCACCCACTTGCTCCTCCTCTTCTTCATCTTCCCTAACGTCTTGCAGGCGGGGAGAAGCTCTAGCGTACTGCTGTGGTAGATATTGCAGTGACTGATGCCTCTGGTGTAGATTGAACGCCGGGCTGCCAGTCTGGTGGAATTCCACGCCATAAGGAGACTGAGGTGACATGATGCCATTGAAACTCATGATGGATGGCGAATCTTGAGGACTCATACCCTGCAAGATACCAGCCTGGTTGGGCCATCCCTGCGGCGGCTGTTGGAAAGGTGAGTTGTTAGCAGGGAATGAGATGGACTGCCGGGCATTGAATTTGCCAGCCACACTGAAGGGTACTGGCGAGGCGCCCGATGCCAAAGGGCTCTGGTTGGCGGCAGCGCCGGGGATGAAGGGAGTTGGGAACGGGAAACCGGGTATCGCATGATTGCTGGACGCTGAGGAAGTCGGAATTGGAGGTGAGAAGGGCAGTGGAGGATATTGAGCCGAAGGTAGTCGCGAAGGTTGTGAAGATATTGAGGGTGCAGCTTCGGGTTCATCGTCTCCGAAAGAGACGCCAAGAGCTCTAAGCTTGGCTTCTTGTAAGTCATTGACATAGTTCTTCCACGCTATAAGAAGTAGTAATGTTAGTCATCAGCCTCTCTTGTGACGTCCGGGACAATTTCTGAAAAATCATACCATTCAGGTCTGGCAGGACCACTGTATAGTCTCGTTCATAGCGCTCTTGCGCCAAATCTTCAAAACTAGGCCACTCCTCTCTGCTTTGAGATTCCTGAGTCGTATCATCCTCAGCCGGCAAATCGAAACCGTCTACATTATACCCTAGCTCCACCCACGAATCAAACATTCGCTCAATCTCGTGTTGTCGAAGAGGCATCGGCGGTTGTCCCGAGAGACCGCGCTCATCGTCCCGTGGTAGCGTAACTATGATGTTCTTGCCCTTCCACGGCACCTTTTTCTTGATTCGAGGCGTGACAGACGGGTCCCTGAGCAGGGGCTTGTCTGAGACTTTGATGGGTGGGATCGCCTTGCTGCCGTTTGGTTGTTCAGCCCCAGGCGGCGTCGCCAGGTCGTTGTGGTTGTTGGGGAGGGACAGGCCCACGACGGAGCCCGTCTCGGTGGCAACTGAGCTTGCCATGTCGTCGTCTGCTTCCGACTGTAGAGGATCACCGGCCTTGAGAGTCTCAACGCTAGAGATGGCGCGAGGATGTCGAGATGTGGATCGAGACTTGGCCCTATATCTGCTCGACGGCCTAGGTGTTCGAGGATCTCGACTTTGATACCAGTCAGCTTCCGAGCCGCTCAGTGAAGAGTGCTCGCTGCTGTCTCCGTCGCTAAACCAGAGTCGAGCTTCGGTATTCTGGTCGCCGGCGGTGTGAGTGCGGATCCAGCCCTCGGTAAGTCCCCTGTTCCGACGCCTGGCCCTGTGCACAAGCACGGCAGCGGCAGCACTCGTGGGTAGAAGCGACTGCACCGGGGTTTGAGGCCGTCCGCTCAGGATAACAGGCGGCGGGCGCAGGAAAGGAGTATTGATATCCAAGGAGTGGATAGGGAAGCTCTCGGATTCGTCACTCTCAGACCCCTCGCTTTCGTAGCTCTGGCGACGAAGGTTGACGTCGCTACGGAGATATGGCGAGCCCCAGCTGGCAGTGCCAAACTGGTCGTCGTCGGAGGCGAAGTTGTCGTCGCTGTCGTCCCGCTCGTCGTCGTCGATCTGGAAGTCGTGGATGTCAAATGCAGGCGCCCTCAAGATTGCCGAAGCCCGTTCGGAGAGCTTGGGGGCAGGAAGCAGAGGAATCGCCGGCGACGATCCGAGCTCGTCGTCTTCGTCGTCGGCTGTAGAGGCTGTCGACAAGGCGGGAGACGTCGGGGTCCTGGATCCCGGGCTAGAGTCTCCAAGGCCGTCCTGCGCAGGTGCAGCAGGAGGAAGAGGGATTGTCGACGTAGCTGAAGACGACGTTGTAGCGAAGTTCTATACGAAGGGGGAAAAAAGAGGAAGGAAAAAAAGAATTAGCTACTCTGCACTTTTAAAGCACATGGCGGTGTTGCTGCATAGGAAGCGGGCCCCGGCCAAGGCGTCGGATTGGAGATGCTGCTCACCAGGTGAGATCAGCGCAGACGAAAAACGTGTTCGCCTGCAGCTGAGTCTCAACATCCGCCTACTGGAAGTCCCTCTACTTCTTACTCGTCCGTTCCGTCAACTGCCAGGGACACTCCAGCAAACGTCCAGCGGCTGGCCGTCGGGGGGTGTGAAAATACGCGACGCGTTGACGAGGCCACCAAGGACGGATTAAAACTAAATAAGAAAAAGGGGGGGCGGCGGGAAAGGAAACTGGGGACCAAAAAAAAAAGGCGCGGGTGTGTGAGTTGCGAGAGAGTGTGTGTGTGCTGGTACAGTATCAGTATCTCGTCCTGGATCGGATCTGGAGTCGAACTCGGGGCAAAGCACTCAAGCAGCGCCGGGACGAGGACAGAGTCGATGAGTGGCCGCAGTCATTGGGGAGCCGGGCTGGGCGGGTCTGGGGTCAGAGGCGAGGCTTGAGTCTGGCGGCGAGAGATGGCACAGCAAAGAGGACGGACGGACGAGAGCGAGAGAGAGAAGAAGAGGGGAGGGGAGTGAGCAGATGGACGGGTCCGGATGGAGAGCTGCAGCTCCGACTGAGTGTCGTGGCCCAGTTGCCAGCGAACAGCTCCAGCGGCCTGCGTTTTGCATCGGTTGGGCCTCCAGCCAATGGCCAGTATACGGGCATGCCTAATGCGACTAGACAGCTGCCCGTATAGAGCTGCGAATAGCAGGCAAATGCCCCGTCTGGGCGATGCTACTCCATCCGAGTGCAACTACGGGCTATATCTGGCCTGGAATCTGGGCCTAGCATTACTACGGGGAATTAGAGCGATGTTGGAAAGGCAGTTGGCAACAGCTGGAGAGCGGCAAGCAGGCATATAGCCTGTATGAGCGCTCGGTAGCTGCTGCTAAACTCAACACCACCTCCTCTGCGCTGCACGCCGGCGCTGGCATTTTAATGAGAGGTTCCGCTGGCCAGGCCCAGTGGCGCGCTGAAGTAACCCAAAGTCGGGTGGCAGCGACCAGGGTCCAGAAGGCTGCCACGACGCCGGTACGAGGCTTGGGGTACCGGTACATGGAAAGTGACGGTGAAGTGGGCGAGTCGCCGTCTCAGACACTGAATCGCACATGATTTGGCGATGCAAAGGCGGGAGAAGCGCTCTCTTAGCCAGAACTCAGCATAGGTGAAGTAGTTTTTCTATTTATCAAGTAGCACCACCCATGCAGCAATCAATGCATGTGCATGCAGCGTGAGCTGGTAGTGGCTTAGAAAGACGGAAGAGAAAAAGAAGCTCAGACAAGAATAGCATTGAATGCAAAAAGCTCAAGTGCCTGTGGTGGCTGACCAAGAGATCCGCCACTAAGGAACACTGCTGGAGCGTGGTTGTACCGTTACTTGAGGGGAAAGTACCAAAACGCGGAGAGACGACGTCGAAACGCTCGGCCAGACTCTAGAGGGCTATTGGAATTTGCTACCCCATACAGAAGAGGAGCTGTTGCCAGCACGAGCCAGATCAACTAGACTACATCATGCCAACACTATCTTTGTATGCGCTCGAGTCGCTTTGATTCTCACCACAATTGCGTCAGACTACAAACTCTCAACTGGTTTTCTTCTCTCTTCTTCTCGCGCTGTAAACAAGGCCGGGCACTAGCACAAGTACAACAGGTACTCCGAGCGCATGTATCGACGGCCACTTTTAGAGCGTCATTCGCCCCCACGAAATACCACTAAAACCCGTCACGCCGGAAAAAACATTCTGATTCACGTGTTGCGCAGATCAATGCTCAACTGCTCATGACCTTTTATGCCGACGCGACGCTATAAAGGTGCTAGTCAGTAACATATTAAATAAAGTAGTAGCAGTGTTCAAGATTCATTCCTGTTTATGTCATAGAGAAGAAAAACAGGCCAACTGCTTGACTTGACATCATGGCGCTCGCTCGACTCGAGTACCTGTACTTTCTCTCTAGCCCCAGGGGTCGCACGTTCACGCCTCGGGAGCTAAAAAGCCACCGGCGGGGCCACGAAGCGGCTGTGAGCCACCGTTTGAGTTGAGCGATTGTGCCACGCCCAAGCAGAAAAAATGCTGGAGATTTTAGATTGGGTTTTTAGCGGCAGCAACCGTTCACTCAAGTTTTTGGGAATATCCCTGTGTCTGCTCAAATGAGACTGAGCGAGCCATGATGCCACCTCATACTATTTGAGAACCCTACTCCTAGTACTTAGGTACTCTCTATATTACTACAAGTGAGAGAGAGAGGTATGCGTGCCGGCTTTGCTCGACTCACCCTCCCCCCACTTAAAAAAAAAACACGAAGAAGGATGAATAGAAGGAAAAGAAGGCAGTTTAGGTGTGCTAAGTGACGCGCTCACGATGCATCGCAGCAGCAGCTAGTCCTGCATTGTCCAGCTGGAGCCGCGTCATTGGCCGACTGGAGATGGGATAGACACGACATTCTCAAGCCGGGATATGTGGCCAGCATAATGCATGCAGCGTCTGAGGGCGGGACAGAAGATGGAAGAAGGCAAGAAGAAGAGAAGAAGTGGAAAAGAAACATTCCATCAGAGGCTCCATTAGAGGCTCCATTAGAGGCTCCATCAGACTCGCTCTGGGCAACTGGCAGTATTAGAGGGAGCGTGTTGGGTAGCAGCGTACATGTATGTACTATGCATGTGGGTGGGTGATATATGCACGTATGCGTCTGTCTGCCGTCCATGAACCTCCGTAGGCCAAGAGAGAGGGAGAAGAAAAAAGAAGGTCGGGACGTGAAAGAAAGAAGCCGCCTAAACACAGCAAGGGAGAGGGAGGATGCCAGACGAGCGTGTTCAAGTGAAACGTCTCTGGAAAACAATGGCCTAGGGGAGACAGCTGAACACGGTATTCAGCCACCATGTGAAACAACTATGGACATTTGGATTTTCTCCTCGCTATTGTTCTCTGGACATTCCAAGGCTCCAAGGGAGTGGTAACGATGCAACAATGCCGTACCTTGTGTGACCTTGTTCAGAATCAAAACTTTTTACCAGAACCCACCAGAATTTACTGTACCATGTAGCCCATCACATCAAGCGTCCCAATGAAGAAAAGAGTAACATAAAAGGAATATATTCAGTGTTTGGAGTAATTAGTTAGGTATCTCGCTTTCTTTCCAGAAAAAAAACAAATATCGATTCTATATGCCAAGTGACAGAAAAATAATAAGAGCTCGCTATGCAGTTTGCAGAAAACAGTCTCGCATAAGCGTATAGCAGCATCGCTCAAGAAATTCTTTTTTTAAACCCTTCACTCTGTTTTCCATCAAAAAAAATTGTTTTTGCAGCATCACCAGTCAAAATCTTATCGACATACATCGTAACCCATGCCTATTAGGGTGAACCATACTCGTGTGCCGCAACAGCTGCAATAAAAAGAAGAACAGCCTCACCGCAAGAAAATCGTGTTAAAAGTTGGCCGACGCGTTTACTGGCTGGTGGTAATTCTCCAATGTCGACTGGAATGGGTTTCGAGGACCGTTGCCCGATGAACTACCTCGGGGAGACTTCTCTGCGGCACTGATATCGACATCGTAAGCCATGAGCCCGTCAGCCTCTTCAGCATGCTTCTTGCGGCCCCAGACTCGGAAGGCAACTAGTGCAAGCGCGCCCAGAATGACGGCACCGCCAACACCAACCACAACGCCAATGATGGTGTTGCGGGTCTGCACTGACATGCCTGAAGAAGCCTTGGAGTTATCTGCGTTGAGGCCCGCGGTCTGGGTGGTCCTTGTTGTGGTAGTCTCGGTAGTCTTGGATCCATCGCTGGCGGTCTTGACGATAACCTCAACCTTGGTCGAAACAGGGGGTGGTGTTGTAGTAGGAGCCGCGGCGTTGTTATCATTGCCCCCAGCAGCAGAAGTCTTGCTGCTACCGCCTTCGCTGCTGCTGTCGCCTTCGCTGGCCTGGCTAGATGAGGTCTGGGACGGGGGAGGAGTGGTGGAAGAACCAGCACCTTCTGTTGCGGACGGAGTGCTAGAGCTGGCAGAGGTGGGACCAGCTTGTGTAGGCGGAGGTGTAGAGCTGCTGTCTGCTGCGCTGGGAGTTGAAGAGGGCGCAGCCGAAGTAGGGGCAGCAGACGTTGGAGAGGCGGCAGAGCTTGATGGCGTATCAGCCGAAGACTGAGACTGTTGCTGCGGCGCAGCGCTCGAAGACTGTTGAGGCGCCGGGGCTGCTGTTTTGCTGGATGAATCGTCTGCGCCTGCAGAGCTCGATGAGTCGCCGCCGCCGCCGCCGCCGGTGATACCACTAAGGGGGTTGTCGTCTCGTCGAATCAAGCCCCGGTGGTGAACCTTTTGGACATCCCACCAGGTAGCCTGCACCACACATAGGATGGACACCACCGCGACCAGCACTTGGATAAGCCTTGTTGCATACATGGCGAATGTTTTGTTGAGCGAGAAAGAACGTGAAGAGAGAAGAGAGAGAGAAATCGAGACAGAGCAAATTTCTCGGCTCTTGCTGGCTGACCGGGGTCGTCTGAGGGCCTTTGGCGTCGACAAGGTAGTCGAGTCAAGGCCACAGGGCTATATTGATTGCGATACTAGTGTATTCGACACGATCGGTGTTTTATTCGCTGTCAAGGAAGCTCTCGATGAGGGACCAAGGAGACGAAGAAGGGACAGAGAGAGCGGATAGTTTGGATAGGGGAGGTAGAAAGAGAGATGTAGCTGCAAATATGTGGTTGCAGGCAGAAAGAACGAACGGCGCCGATATACGGGATAAAGCGGAAGACCTCAAAGGTCGTGTGTGAGGAGGATAAAACGTCAAAAACGAGGGACGAAAAAGGAGAACGGTTGAGAAGTGAGGATAAAACGAGAGTGTTTTAATCTTGAGGTGACAGGGTCTGACAAACAAAGGAACGGCGAGGGCTCGTATTCAGCAGCGGATAAAGGAACCCACTGCGAAGCAGCACTGTATCGCACTGTGCGCGGCGAGCTTGAGCTACCCGACGCTTTGTCGTATGGGCCCAGTCGGGACTAGGGGCTCTCGGGGCAGGCCGCCTAGCTCGCTGTAGCGGGCCTGCGCCTCCGCCATCTTCTCCTGTGGATCAGTGCTGGCGCGTGCGAATTGCGCCTCGGGCTACGGTGCTCCTGGGCTTGGCTGCAAAATTCTGCGCCGCCAAGGCCTGTCTGTTTCTCTGGGTGCCTGTCACGTCACGCGCCTTGCTCGCTAATGAAAGAAGTAATCATTGAACCGAAACCATTGTTCTGTTCGGCCGTATGCATGTATTTTGCTTCGCAATAGAGCTTCACGCAAGAGCAAAACAACGAAAAGAAAGAAAAAAACCTGTTGGACGAATAACGGTGATCACATCTCATTCTCAGGACAGTTTAAAATCACATTAGCGCGAGCTATTATTAGCCTTGATGGTTCTAGACATGCCGCACTTGCACAACGAACGATTATACGGTGGTCGTAGTCGTAAGATAGCACCTATTACGGTAGACGCAACGGTGGCCGCCAAGCACCAAGACACGCAAGTCTGTGCGCTCAACTACTAGTACTGAATGCCATGGCTCGGTACCTGAATCCGTGCCCATCTGCAGTAAGGTACAGTACCAAGAACCGGCATGCGCAAATTGCTGGAGCCATGGATCGGTTGGTCGGGGCCACCTGTTCCGCACGGAGTACCTACCCGCCGACGCGCAACATGCGGCGCAGCATATGTACTCCGTATGGATCCGACATCTCCTGCTTTGGCGCCCTCAACAAGCATTGACGCCCACGGATGGCCTGCGCAATGCCCTCTTTGTCCTCCTGTGCTGCCAGTGCTCCGCAGAGTCTTGAAGTCCCACGGACCCTTCGGGCAGCGTGCTGTGCCCAATCGCCGCCGAGTTTCGCCAGCAGCGCCGTCAGAGGCAGAAGCGCTGCCGATTCGCAGGGTTTCATGGAGGCCGAGTCAGTGCGACAATCGTCGTAATCGTCTGCAAGCTGTCCCTCCTGAGTGTCGCAGTGGGCGCCAACGGCCTCGGTCAGGCCCGTAGCAGAGTGGCTCGTCTAGCGAGCTTATTGGCGGAGGCATCGCAAGCTGTATGCAGGAGAGCTGCGAGTAGCACCACCAAGACGATGCTGTCCTCCAGACTTGTTCGCACGGCTCGTCCTGCTGTCGAACTCCTGTGACAGCCACGAGCGCTCGGCGTGCTGCCGAAACAGGGGCTTCTGACGGCGCGAATAGCCAGTGAATGCGGCCAGAGGCCTCTTGGCAGGAAACGATGCTGCACAGCCACTTCATGTCCTACTGCCTTGGACCCTTAGCTTCGATCGACATAACCGCAGATCTACCGAGTTATGACGAGCCTTTGTTATGCATTTGGCAGTTAGGCAAGTATTTACAGCAATGACGACTGTCGCGCTCTTCTCTGTCTTTGCTCTTTTCCTTTCTTTTCTTGGAAGAAGGAAGAGTAGAAAAACCCAAGGAATGGGTGCATCCATTGCCAATTATCGAATTACACAATCTTCAAACGCCCGTAACAGTGTTAACATTTCGTACTCGTGGCTGTATGCAACGTATAAGCTTACGGTCAAAGCTTAAGGGTCTGGTGCCAAGACCAATTAGCCCATTGCAGTATCCTCCTGCCAGCACGAATGGTAGCTATTTTGCTCCCCATTTCGGTGAAACAACTGTTATTATACCTAGTCTAGAACAGGGAGGAGAAATCTGGCTGAGAGCAGCTGAGAGCGCGTGTTCTCCGAAGGATTTGATAACATCTACCGAGTAAACCCATGACGCACTGAAGATGATACATGATGAAACTGATCTGCGCCGTGCCATTACAACGCCTGCTCAATTGAGCTTGTCAGCTTCAAGGGACCAAGGGCAGATCTACTTTACCAAGATGCCTACCTAAATAGCTAGATGCGACGTTACTACAACCCGACTTACAGTTGTGAATGAAGACAGGGGAAAGACAACACATGACGTCAGGGCGAGATAGGTGCTGCCTCAAGCAGACGATTGCAATATCGTCTAAGTGTTTGATGGTAATTGCAGATATGCATGCTGTTTACTCGTGTCACGATTGACCAGTTCCTCAAGAGATAGAGGGAAATTAACAAGTACCTCTACCTCTATTGAAGCAAAACAGGCACATCAATGGTGCATTAACTAACGTACTGTCTCAGAGCGGAAGTGTCTATGAAGGTGGGATAAAGGTTTATCCTTTCTTCCCGTGATTGCCGTTTTCGTAGAAGCAATAATGCGAAGAAAAAGAAAAATCATCAGACACATAATAATATCCGCTATAAGAATTTTGAACGGCATGAACACAGCAGTCACTTGTTCAAAATAGCATCAAATTTACTCCTCCGTCGTCATAAATGGCTGGGCCGTGATCAGCCGCTGCAAACATGAAGACACTCATTGGAGGAGTTTCTTGGGAAACTCATCGACATGGCGGAAGCAAAAGCTCACCGCCCTCAATTCAGCTACATCAAGATCAGCCCATCTTCTATTCCCGGCCAGGTTGCTAACCTTGCTTCTATTCGCTCTGATCTGCGTGTTATAGGCAGAATCCAACTGCAAATTGGCCATCGTCCTGCCGGCTACGCGCTCCAATGATACATCTCCAATTCCGACCCCGCGTTGGCCAAATCTCATCTTGTCTAGCTCATCTACAATTAGGGAAGAAAAAAAGTCCCACCTACTTCGCATTTTGCCATCAACGGAATGGCGATGAGTTGCGCAAAGTGCTGGCCAACGCCATTTTCATGGGGAAGTGACGCTACCAATATGCAATGGAACCCTCCAGCATCGGCTTTGGCCCAGACCCCTCATGAGGGAGCGGCATTGCGATTTGAGTAAAAGAAAAGCATAAATAAAGCCTAGAGAGCATATGATCCAACGAGAGTACTCTTGCTCGTTTTCAATGGAAGAGTAAAATAAGTTGACCAGAAGAGAGAGCAATTGGATCGGCAATGAGATCGGATACTCTTCTGACAGCGGCATCTGCGCTGCTGCTTGCGGGCACCAATGCTTTACACACCGGTACCAGTGGTGGCCGGCCTCGTGACATCGTGGTGGACAGTTCCAAGAGCCCTCTGCTTCAAGACATCGTCACCTGGGATGAAGATTCGCTTTATATCCACGGCGAGCGTGTCGTCATCTTCTCCGGCGAGGTCCACCCCTTTCGGCTGCCCGTGCCATCCCTATATCTCGATGTATTCCAAAAGATCAAGGCCTTGGGCTTCAACATGGTCTCGTTCTATGTCGACTGGGCTCTTTTAGAGGGAAAACCAGGACATTTCCGTGCCGATGGCATTTTTGACTTGGAGCCATTCTTTGAGGCTGCCACTCAGGCGGGCATTTATTTGCTGGCCCGCCCGGGGCCATATATCAATGCGGAAGCGTCAGGCGGTGGGTTTCCCGGGTGGCTGGCAAGAGTCAAAGGCATTCTCAGGACGAATGCAACTGATTACTTGGATGCTACCGACAAGTTGGTCGAGCCTATCTTAAGTCTGGTGTATTACTTCTTGGCTAATAATAAGCAGTTACGCGGCAAACGTTGCCCGGATTATCGCAAAGGCACAAATCACAAACGGAGGACCCGTGATCTTGTATCAGCCAGAGAACGAGTACAGCGCTGGCAATGCGGGTGTTGTGTTCCCAAACAAGCCGTATATGCAGTACGTCATTGATCAGGCTCGAGAGGGCGGCATTACGGTCCCTCTGATAAACAACGACGCTTTTGCTGGTGGCACAAGCGCCCCTGGAACTGGCCTCGGATCAGTCGATATATACGTGTGTTCTCCCGTAGCAGATATCGATGGCGGCATATGCTAACTTGGTTACAGGGCTGGGACGCTTATCCTGTGGGCTTTGACTGCGTACGTTTGGAACTTGCTATCGAACGAGCTCAAAGAATGTCGGAATGCTAATGGTTTTACAGGCCCATCCGTATACCTGGCCGGATAACGGGCTACCGGCAGGGCAACACGATACACATCAAAGGATAAGCCCAAATACACCATTTTCTCTCGTAGAGGTCAGTACGGCCTTGCTTGCCTAATAAACTTATGCACTCGCTAAAACGGAGACAGTTCCAAGGTGGCGCCTTTGATCCATACGGTGGATGGGGCTTCGACCAATGCTCCATCTTGGTAAACCACGAGTTCGAGAGAGTCTTTTATAAGAACAATTTCGCATCCGGTGTAACGATTTTCAATATTTACATGGTTCGTACTCCTGTCATCATGCGAGATAACATCTTTGAAATGAATGGAATGCTAATGAAGAGGTGTATGGATTTAGATCTTTGGCGGTACTAATTGGGGCAACCTCGGACACTCTGGCGGCTACACGTCGTACGATTATGGAGCGGTTAGTCACTTACTTATGATCTACTCAGTGTTTTTGAATTGGAATAGCTAACTAGTTCATTAGAGCATTAGAGAGGATCGAACCGTTGACAGAGAAAAGTACTCAGAGTTGAAGCTGCAAGGCCAGTTCTTGAAAGTCTCTCCTGGATACATCACAACCACCCCCGGCAACTTAACCCAAGGAGTTTACAGCGACAACAAAGACATCTCGATAACACCACTCCTAGCAAAAGAAAATGGCAACTTTTTCGTTGTGCGCCACACAAACTATTCAAACCTCGATTCAACATCTTACACAGTCAAGCTACCAACCTCTGCCGGAGAATTAACCATCCCTCAGCAAGGCGGAACGCTCACTCTCAGCGGACGCGACTCCAAGTTCCACGTCACTGATTATCCCGTGGGCAATTTTACGCTGCTCTACTCAACTGCAGAGGTCTTTACATGGAAGCAGTTTGAAAACAGGACCGTCCTGGTTCTATACGGCGGCGCAGGAGAGCTGCATGAATTTGCCGTCAAGAATCCATTCGGAAGCACTAAAGCAGGCAAAATCAACAAGGTCGAAGGAAAGGGCGTTGCCATTCATACCGCAAACGATTTGACGCTTGTGCTTCAATTCACAGCTTCGACTGACAGACAAGTTATACAGCTGGGTAACTTGGTCATCTACATGGTTGGTAAGTGTTGACCACAGATCTTCATGGTTCGATGAATTGCCGTCTCACTCGTACCTTTGTCTGCCGATGAAAAGAATACTGACAATTTGCTATATAGACCGCAATGCTGCGTACAACTACTGGGTTCCCACCCTCCCTGGAAGCGGTAGCAAGCCCGCCTACGGCAGCTCCTTGATGAATCCCGCCGCCGTAATCGTAAACGGAGGCTATCTTGTCCGCTCTGTTGCCGTCGATGGATCAACTCTTTCTATACAGGCAGATTTCAACGTCACAACACCACTGGAAATCATTGGCGCTCCTCAAGGCGTCTCAAAGCTAGTCGTCAACGGAAAAGAGCTCTCATACACCGTTTCACAACTCGGAGATTGGACCGCCAACCCAGATACCGTGCTCCCAGTCGTTCAAGTCCCCGACCTAACAAAACTCACATGGTATCAAGTAGACTCACTCCCAGAAGTTCAACCCTACTACGACGACTCCCACTGGCCCTCCGCAAACCACAAGACCTCCAACAACTCGGTAGCGCCTCTGAAAACGCCCGTCTCGCTTTACGGCTCAGACTACGGCTTCCATACCGGAACGCTCGTCTTCCGCGGCCGCTTCACCGCGCAGACTGCCCAGCAGCAATTCTCCCTCACCACGCAAGGCGGCAATGCCTTCGCCAGCTCCGTATGGCTCAACGACAAGTTTATCGGCTCCTTCCACGGCTTCGACGCCGGCGTCAGCGCAAATTCGACCTACAAGCTCACCAACCTCATCCGAGGCAAGCGATACGTCCTCACCGTCGTCGTGGACTCGACCGGCCTGAGCGAAAATTGGAACATTGGCCTCGACGAGATGAAGACCCCGCGCGGCATCATCGACTACACCCTCCTCTCTTCAAGGGGAGCCCACGTTCCCATTTCGTCCTGGAAAATCACCGGCAACCTCGGCGGCGAGGACTACCACGACACTTTCCGCGGACCCCTCAACGAGGGCGGCCTCTTCTTCGAGCGCCAGGGCTACCATCTCCCCTCCCCTCCCCTCCACGCCTTTGACAGCCGCCACGGCGGGTCCCCCTACAAGGGCATCTCGCACGCAGGAATCGCCTTCTATGCCGCCAAGCTCACCTTGGACCTCCCCTCGGACTCGTACGATATCCCGCTGTCTTTTGTCTTCGACAACACCACCAGCGCAGCGCCATATCGCTCTCTGCTCTACGTCAACGGCTTCCAGTACGGCAAATACGTCAGCAACGTCGGCCCGCAGAAAGAGTTCCCCGTACCGGAGGGTATCTTGAACTACAACGGCGACAACTGGATCGGTGTGGCGCTCTGGGCGCTCGACAGCCACGGCGCAAAGGTTCCGGGGCTAGAGCTCAAAGCCAAGTCGCCAATTTTGACGAGCAGGCAAAAAGTAGAGCTTGTTCAAGGCCCGGTTTATAAGAAGCGACGGGGAGCGTACTAAGAGGGGGCACAGGAGGAGAGGGAGGGTCACATCTCTCCCGTGATAGCAAAGTAATATATAAGCTTATTGAACCTTTCGTTTCTGAAATGTCATCAAGTCATGTCAATTCAAGCTTCTAATTATACAAATAAAAACCGTCCAGCGTCCATCTGATAGATGCCTGGACGCGCAAAGTGATTCCCTTCCATCATATATGTCCTGTAACAAACAGGTTTTTCCTTCAAAAAGACAAAATAAAGCAAAAAAGAAGCCTTGTACAGATAGCCCACCGGAAAATAGGGGTATCAAAATCCAAAATGTATGAGCCAAAAGAAAAAGAAAAAAAAAAGGACGAATGCTAATTAAATATACAAGCACAATGCCAATCCGTGTACAGTAAGAGCGCAGGGCAGAAAAGGTAGAATAAGAATGATGAAAGACAGCGTTCTGTGCCCGCAGGTAAACAATGAAAAAGATATTTTTTTGCTTTCAACAGCACCAGTGTGATATAAGCACTGAGACTGAGAAAGCACGTGTACCTTGGATATAAAACATAGCAGATGGTACTAATATCGAGAAACAAGGATAGGCGACATACGTACGATATGAAACAACGCCGGCTGGCTTCGGCATATGTGATTGGTATATAAAGAATGTTGTTGCTTAATAGCTGAATATTAGACTTGGCGAGATTAACAATAATAACAAGCGTACATCGTGTTCAGATTCGAACACCCCTATACGTTGGGTGTTGGTGCCTTGTAGCCTGGCTATGCCTCGGAGAAATTGGGCTCTCATGGACGCGGTGTCTGGCAGGACTGCGCTGCGTAGCGTATCCCACGGGTACACCCTGTGGCTGCGTCCTATCCCAGGATCCTTGAGACTGGATAAGAGGCCAGTTGGGCGAGTTGTTTGGAATGGCGAGTGCTGGAAGGGCATCGAAATTTGGTGCTCGGAATTGCAGCGGAATAGGCGGTGGTACTCCAGAGTCCATAACTCCCCGAAATCGTGGTGTCCTTGGCGATGGCGTTCGAATAGTTGCGTGGACAGGACGATGGTCAGTACTCCTGTTAACGTGGGGAGTCGGTATAGCAACTCGAAGCTCTGGAGCAGATGCTCGACCTTTAACAGCAGAGTTTCTAACCTCTCGGTTGGATACTTTGGGAGATTTGGGAGATTGTGAAACCACAGTTGCTGGCATCGACTTGCCGCTGGCCGCTGCAGATATATTCCCGTTAGCTAGCGAAGTCGCTCTCTTCCTTTTTTCGGTAGCTGAAGGAGTCATATTCCCGACGGCAGACTTTCGACGGTTCAAGTTGAGAGACGACATTCTCGATGTTGCAGCTTCAGCAACTCTGCGCAGTGAACGTCGCTTTTTCAACGACCCATCTCCACCTATTCCGGCACCAACTTCAAGAAGACTGTGGCCAGACACGGCGACGTTATCAGAGGAGGCTAAATTGTCCACACTCATGATTGTATTGAGAGTTGCACTGCTTGCACCCATTTTGTGAGAAGGAGAGAAAGACGAAGAAGTCAAACGATAGCTCTTATCCCCGCGCTTTACTCTTGACCTCCCAATTTCAGTGGTCGATCCGGTGGCTCCTCTGGGCAGGTCCTTTGTCGCGGCGCTGCTCCTTTCTTCTCGAACGAATGGCTTATATACCCTGCTATGCTTCTTGATTGCATCTGCATTTAGGATAGGAGCCATTGCCGGTTGCTCCAGCGTGCGTCGCCGTGTTTGGAGTGAGCGAGCAGAGCCTTTTTCATCGGCGTTGCTCGAACTCAAAAAAGAACGCTCCGATACATTGGAGCTATATCCACTATCGTTCTTTAAGGAAGGCCGGTGCGAAGACTCAGATGAAGTTATTGAGTAAAAGCCGCTGTTAGTTCTGCTCACCGCCTCCCTTGCCTTGCCAAGGGCTCCGTCATTCACTGCGCGATCAAGATGCCCCTGCAGAGGGCTGGGAACTTTTGACAACGGGCTAGGCATCAAATTTTCTAGAGTCTCTGCTTTTTGGCTTGACGACTGTGAAGGCTTTTCGTTCACTTTGAAACCAGAGATTGACGCCAAGGCACGAGACTCTGCTACTGAACCAATGACGCTGTGGCGCTGTTTGCGGCGTGCCATATTCAGCTCAATACCAAGATCATCGGAAACTATTGCTGACGATGATTCTAGCCCTGGCCCTGATTCACGATCTTGTTGCCGTTGCTGCTTGATTATATCCTGAGGGCTTGAAGGAGGAGATCCGTTCATGATCTTTAAAGAGCCAAACTTCATGCCTCCGAGCTGCCTGTAGTCTGACTCGCGCGGTGTGGCAGCTCGCTCCAGTGGTACAAATCCTATAGGCATATGAGGCATAGAAATATGTTTCGACGCCTTGGAGCTGGGCTGGAAGGTAAACGGGTCGTCTCCGAAGACCGGCTGGCTCTTTCGAGAACTTGATCTGTCGGGAACAGAGAGCATGTCATCTCGCCTTGGCCTCGTTGCTACACCGGGCGTCTGAATCACGGAGCGCCGTCGCATCGGAGCATAGAAGGATAAGTCTGAAGTGGTTCTTGGTAGAGAGGTGCGAGCAACACTAGAAGCCCGGCGGTCCTGATGCACATCGGATTGGGATTGACTTCTCATGGCGGCTGCTTGAAGCTCCTGTAAGAACTCTGAGCTTGTCCGAGCCAGTTGCTGAGACTCGTAAAACTGCAGCAGCTCAGACTGCGGTGATCTTCCCCTCTCTATACGATTTCCATGCCAGCTAGGTCTCTGTCAGCGTTACAAGGTCAGTAGTAAGACTATAGAGAACAAACCTCTGCGTCCGTGACAGTCGTCGCTCGGGGTCACTGTGCATTACAGAACTGGCCCGGCGCATCTGGTTGCTTGCGCCTGAGTTTGAATACAAGGAGTGCGATCTTGTGTTTGATATGGGGGATTCAGGCAGGACTGGGCTCCGCATGTAGTCAGATTCTCGCCTAGACAGCCGCCTGGAAGGTTCATAGAGCCTCTCTACGTAAGGCTCCGAGGCTTCATTGCTGCCACCCGCAATGTGCTGCGAGTCTCTTGAAGAAAATGGTAACGAGGCTGCTAGATAGGATTCGGACATTCGAGTGCTGCTAGATGCAGCTGCCCCCGTAGGATTCCGCGGCCTCGGCATAGCTCCATGGCTTGCTGCCCGAGGCTTAGAGAGTTTCTGAGGCGCCTTTCGAGGCGCCTCTGCCGATGTTGTGTTCCCCATGAAATAGCCGCCTCCGCCTGATGTTTAGAACAAGAGAAGAGAAGGACAAACGACCAACAAAGAAAGAAAGGAGTGTGGGTATTTCCGGGGGAAAAAAAGTATAAAAATAGAGAGTGAGAAAGTGTTGGAGAAAAACAATAACCAGGCCAGCTGCGTAAGGCTCAAGTGTGGAATGCAGTCATCTCCATGTCTCTCTAGAATTGGGTTGGGCGTAGAATTCAAAACATGGAGATGGGGTTATCCGCAGGAATTTGTAGGAGAACTGTAAGAGAATTCGACGACCTTTTGTGCCAAAGCTAAAGACGAAAAGAATTGTAATAATTTCTCCAGAGCCAGGCAAAAAAAGGTTTCAATGAGGGCGTAGCGCAAATCGGGTATATAGTTTGTCTGGCTTCCGAGAATCGAGGCGACAAACGACACCGTGATGCTTAAATCGATGAGGAGAGGGGTGAAGCTTTCGACCAGAACGCCACCTCCGACTGCTTGTAAGCCGATGCCCTCTGTGCCCCCGATGCCGGTTCCGGCGACTGTAAATCGCGGAGTAGAGGCTCAATTGAAGTCGGACTGCATCGAGACAGTTGGATGAAAGAATGGCGCGTCGCAGAGCAGCCGCCAGACGTGACGAGAAGTCTGGGGTCTTGAGCTGGCAGCCCAAATCGCGATGCCAGGCCAGGGCCCTTGAACGTCGCTGTCGCTACTTGTATGTACACATCATCTCCCAGTCACTCAATCAATCCAACAAGGCCCGCTAAGCTATCGTATATGCGGCTCCACAATTATCGCACGCCGCTGATGGAATTGCTGCCGCTTCCTGGCCAACTGTGACAGGGGCGACTAATTACAACCGAAGCTACCCCTGTGAGATTCCCTGGTTGGCGCATTTTCTGGCCAAGAGTTCGTCACGCTGCATGTCTGAGACAATGCAGGCTCGTAGCAAGAGCAAGGATGCCGTACACAATGGCGATGGCCATCACGGAACGCCGGAGCTCTTTGTCTGCTTCTCTTGCTTTGCTGCCCAAATCTTAAGTATGGCTGGTGAGATTATGAGACACAAGACGGAGCAGTCAACGGCCTGCCAACTTCAGCCTATGCCCGTTTCCAGACGCCATGCATGAGCAGGTCGGAGAAAAAAGCTTGGAAAATGCGAAACACCACTCTCCTATTCGCCGGCCGTTGAGTTTCGCTGCGGTACCAGCTGGAAATCAAGATTCGGGGCTAGCTGGCCTAGCGCACTCAATAGCTAAGACGTAGCCAGTCAGCTATGGGGGTCAAAGGCCGAGGAGAGCAGCTTCACAGCTCGTTAACCGCTCTGGTACGTGTATTGCTCGGGCATTGTACCTATTGGGGACCTTCTCGCATGGACTCATCGTGAAGCTGCCAAGCTGCGAGGACCGATATGGTGCGGCCAGCTGTCGGCCTGCGGCAACTCGAAAGACGGATGGCCGGCTGCTGCAAGAGCCAAAGAGATTCGGGCCTGCGGGCACTTGCGTGCAAAAGATCTCCAGTTGGTCTGCATGGCATGTGGGGGAGCCCTCATCATGGCCTGAGCAAAATCCATCGAAATGGATCCCACATCACGATCTAGTGGTAATTACCGGGAGCCCCTCACCACGATCCGGCGAGAATAGCTGAGCCTCTGCTTCTAATTTCAGCCCGGGCGGGGAGCAGAAGCTGGGCTGCGCTCGGCATTGCGAATATTCGATGTTGATCCGGAGCAAAGTCACAATCGCAGTGGAGGTTCATGGGGAGTGGGGGAGGTTTTGGCCCGGCGAGGGAAATGAGCATGAGCGTGACTAAGCAAGCATGTCCCGTGTGCCCCTTTCTATTGTACATCGTAGATGCCTAGGCAGCAATACTTGTAAAAATGAAGCAAAACAAGGTGATGATAGTAGTATTACAAAGAAGCAATACGAATATGAGCTACTCTCTATGAGCATTGAATGCAATGAGACCATCTTTACAGCAGTTTTTGGAGTCTTGGGGTCGTGGCGTGCAAACCATACAGGTACTTTGCAAAGAGATGGCTGAGAATGAGGAGAAGGCAATGGCTTTCAAGATCGACGCAAGCCATGAAGCATAATTGCTCCATTTGGAAATTATGACAGCCGCGGCTCATCAGCTGCCTACCCACACCTTGTGTTCCAATCTCTCTACAAAGAACATTCTGATTGACCGTGCTGACGTTGACGCTGATACTGCCCCCGGCAAGCGAAGTCTCGCCTCGCCTCGTATCAGCCAGGCATGGATTGCATTGGTCTCCATGCGCTCTCGCCTGGCGGCAAGTGCACTTACTTTACTATACAGTATTGTATCAACTATATTGATATATTATTAGCAGTGAATTCGATCGATTCGCATGGCATTGCATCATTGTGGCACGGCACGCCCGGAAGGGAGGCTTCCAGCGCCAAAGAAGCTATCAGCTCTAGGCGCGAGCACATGTCAATAGTTGTATTAGAGTTACCCTAGACCATCACGAGAGTTCGAGCATAGATAGTTTTTAATTTCTCGACACATTGATTGATTTGATTTCATGGTTTGATTTCGCTTCATATCATTTACTCTTCTTCCTTATGGCCTGATATTCATTAGTTGTGACGCTTTGCGCCATGTAACAATAGCGGTCGGCCATCTTCATCCTATAACTACCTAAAGTACAGATGTTTTGACTACACGTAAACGAAGTGACCTGCCTCCCAAGACAAACACTCTCGTACGAGAACATCCATGCATGACTATCCATGGCTATGTACCATTTTCTGACCACCAAAAATCACATTAAAATAACAAGAATAATGCTAATACTGCCAGCTATGGATTGATGCGTGAGACACTGCGTATCTTCGACTTTGACTTTTCCATCCCGCAATTAATACGGCAACCCAGGCAGGGCGTTACGTGGAATAGAATCCGAGTCTATCCGCAGTCATATTTTCGTCTCGAGGCTCTCCTTGCTTTCAAAATTTTCTTGATAACACTCAAGCTGAGTTTTGTGGCGTTGTACAGCTCATCCCCGTCTGAGACACCGGAAGCTCATTCTCCAATCACGTACGTGCAGCCTTGGCTCCCAATCCAAACCTCGTGCACTCGCCCAGCGTCCACGTCGACTCTGGACCCGACGCCAAATGTTACCTTTTTACGATCTGCTTCGTCAGGATACCACAGGGTCATTTCGCCATCGACAATAAGATGCGTTGTCAGCCCGCGGTGCGAGTGGGGAGCATAGTGCGAGTTTCTGCAGTTGCTCAATTAGTAACTGCGAACACAGCCTCCCTATTGATCTACAAATTCGCCATTGCGTCAGACGTAAGGGTGAAGGCCCTCGTGGAGCGTATTTCAGAGATTGAAATAAAGCGCTTGTTGATCGCTATTGAACATGACGCAATGCGCTGACGAAGACTAGAACAGAGGGCTATGAAGCAAAAAGCAAAAAGAAAAGGAAGTAAGCGAAAGGAAGAGAGATGAGGGGAGAGATCTAGACAATGTAGTGTCATAAACTTATAGAGCGCGGTTGTGCATATCGAGTTAACCACAACGAAGCGAGGACGACTTACGGCCCATCAGTCCATGTGAAAACGTGCCCAAACCCCCACGATCTGACCTGCGCCTCATGCCGGTCACCCATCTTGGCGGGTGCGTGCTTTTTCGATTGCAGGCAGCGCCCCGCAAGCAGGATCCTTAGGTAGAGGAAATGTTTGAAATGTTTGCCTTTTTGAGGCGAACCTGCCTGGAAGCCTGCTTGAGAGCCTGAGAGGCAGGGCTTGCTCGGTGATGCAGGTCGATGGTGGCTGTGATTTTGGGTGGCTGTATTCTTTTCGGTGACGATTGCAAAAATCGGGCACACTCCAATGTCTCACGAGGAGCAAAAGACGAGACAAATTGAGACTGGATGAAGCTGAGGTGAAAGACGAAAGCCACAGAAGATGGGATGACCTCACTGGGCTGGGCCCACCGCGGGGACAAAAAGGATCAATAGCAGCGGTGCCACGCCCGTGCCGCAGCGCTGGGAGGCTTGGACAACCTTAAACGCACCCGCTGAAGCCGTTGGGCGGTAGCGGGTGTTTTAGTGAGGGAATGACGGGGCCATTTCTTATAGTAGATTGATGCCGTATCGATCAATCCATATCTCGCTGAGCTGGGCTCCAGTGTTAGCAAGGGGACGAGTTTCATGGCCATCAATTAGCAAACTTGATGCGAGGGAGTGATGATGATATCGCCTTGCTCAAGGCAACGCAGGGCAAGGCAGACAAGCCAATTTATGGGAAAAGTTAGTCCGCTCGTTAATGATTCAACTCTGGTAGATTTTCTTGCATAGCTTAGACGCCAAAGTAGCACCAGCGCCAGCTACGAGAAGGTTGCAGTGAATCCTTCCTCCGACAGCCCTGCCCGTAGAATCTAGCATGTACCCTGGCACTGCGTCGAGATATCTCCATCTCCCATTTCCCTCCGACTGGTACTCGCAGCCCCATGGCCAAAACCTCGTCCGTCCTCCTCTCCTCCAATCCCAAGACAGGCATCCGACGGCGTGTCCGCTGCCGCCAGCCTCGCTTCTCTGGCCGTCACAGGCAGGGCACGAGAACACGCCACGCATGAAGCTGTCTGGCCCTCTTTGCGGGAAGCAGAGCCAATGCTGCAACTGCACGGCAGCCCGAGGCTGTGCTCGCGCGCGCCCCAGCACCTAATGCCAGCAAAACCCCCGTCGTTGCGAGCCGAAGACAAGATGATAAGCAGCAACTGGATGCACGAAGCACGGCTCGCAGTTCTCCATCTCCATCGGCGCGAATGACTCGCACACTGTGCTGTGCCATCAGCCGCCTTGGCCAGCCATTCCCGCGCGCCGCAGCCCGATTCTTTTTGAGGCTCAACAAAGGCAGACGCCAGGCCGCCTCTCCCTCACACGGTGCGCGCCGTCGAACCGCCCCGATGAGCCCATCCAGGCCGCCGTTCCACCCAAAGCTCTCCACAAACCCAAACAACAGACTGGGCCCTGACCGGCCCCTAGCAAAGCCCCGGCCAGCCAGGCCCTTAGAGAGCTCAGCTGCTGGCGCTGCTGCTGCTCTGCGACTGCGACTGTGACTGCGACTGCTGCTACCTACTAGGCCCAGCAGATCAGTACAAAAGAGGGACCCCAGCCCTACCAAACAAGTTTGTGGGCAGCTGAAGAGACCAGCACGAGGCGCTAGACCTGCTAGACACGAGCGCTGCCAGCACTAGCACCGCTCTCCAGTCCCCAGTAGCGGCACCTAAATTAAGAAGCTGACAGCTCGGCTCGAATCAGTCCCTCTCAGTCCATCCTCGTTTACATTGCCTTACTCGTCTCTTCTTCCTCTTCCTCTACTCTCTTCCTCATCTGCTTGTTTTCCTGCATCATCTCTAGCGTTTCTCTTTTGATACCCCATCAGCAGCTGATTGCCAGACATACTCGCCCACGCTCGAAAAAAATCAGCATTTTTTTTTTTGGTAGAGACGACGCAGAGTGGGAACAGACAACTAGTAAGACAGCCGCACGCCAACTGCAGCTTATCCAGGTACAAGGTACCACCGGCGGAACCACAGCCACAACATCGTCTGCCGATATCTTTGCCCTTTGGACCCTTTGGACCCTCACAACTCACATCCTCCGAGCTTCTCTTTCTCTCTTCTGTTCCTCATCCGCTCCAAGAGCGGCTGGCACCTCGTCGCCTCTCATGAAATCTCTGCTACAGCGATAACGACGACAGCAGCGATAGTGTCTCGCTTCTCGTCTGGGCACTCGCCCTCCCATTAGTCTCCATCAGTCGCCATGTCTTTCACCTGCGGCATGTTTGTACGTCTCCAAACACCTGCTTCGTTTTCTTGTTTTTTTCTTCTCCCTGTTCACTCATTCGTACGTTTCGCTAACATGAGTGCCAACTCCCAGCGCCGTCGTTCCAAATCGGAGGAGAAAAAGTCAAAGCGGACCCATACCTTTTCCATCTTCGACCCGAGCCTCGATGTCCTCAAACGAATGATCAGGAGCGCCACCATGATCACCCCCATTAGATTCCACGACGATCCGATCGCCTCGAGAGTCCTCTCCCTGACGCGTGAACACTCGATGACCCGGTCAATGCTTGACACCATGGAAGCCGTCTTCAACAATCTGCGAGGCAGCAATCTTGAGCTCTCAAAGGAGGACTTCGACAAGTTCCTCAGGGAAGTCCAAGGCGAAGTAGCCATCCAGCTTGACAAGGAAAAATACACCGAGGGAGATTTTCTTTTCGTACTGGCAGACTGTTGGGACGCTACTCGGGGACCTTCAGCAAAAGACTACTCAAAACCCATAACCAATTATTTTATCAACAGTAGCCACAATACCTATATTAGCGGCAATCAATTAGCCTCCAAAACTTCCCCAGAGGCCTACACTGCTGTTCGTATTTTCAACTTGGCAAGAATCAATAATCTCTACGTATTCATACTGACTGGTTTTATCATCTAGGTCCTAAAGAGAGGCGGCCGTTGCATCGAAATCGACGTCTGGAATGGAGATGAGATCCTAG